ATGGTACTCAGACACAAAGTTCATTTTTTGACAAATTCTTTTAATGAATGGCTTATTTCTGTGAGTGCGTCAGTGATATTTTTAAGGTGACTGTTCATTTCTTCAATGGCCCTAACAATTTGTTGTTGTGACTCCAGAACAGCATGCGTCAAGACACGGCCAGATGGACGGGCTTCAGCACTGGGGGGAACATTAGAGACACGGGAGACGCTGGACTGAATGGGCTCTGGCTGCTCAGGTGGTGCGGACTCTGAGTGCGTGCCAGTGGACGTTCCTGCGGTTCCTAAGTCCAATTAAACACAGGCACATCTTAACAGTAATTTGAGTCTGTTCCTTATTAATGGGTACACGCATTTGCAATAAAAGCAGTGGATACGTGAAATCTCTGGTGTACCTTTTGCTATATTGCATGCATTTTAAAATTAAACGGTGGCTGGCTATGTATATCAAAGTTAAGGAAATAAATCTGAGTCACCTTGCTGGCAGTCCTGTAGTATATCCGAGTCTCCTACATCAGCGGATACGATTCCAGAGATTAACGTGTCTCCTACAATAGAGGCAACTCTCTGATCAAAGGGTGCAAGTTCATCGGTCCCTGTACCACCGCCTGTTCTGCCCACACTTTGTCGGTGCGCAGCAGTTCTCCGCTTAACTTCCACCTTTATGTCTGACCATTTCTTCTTCAGTTCATTTACGGTGCGACTCTCAGATCCCACCGCGTTGACGGCATCAGACAAACTCGCCCACTCTTTTTTCTTTCTTTTGTTATTAATTCCAGAGGACAGATTTCCAAATAAAATATTTTTTCTTGTTTCTACCTCTGATAGTAGCACCTCTAATTCGTTTTCAGTGAAATTTCGTTTCTTGCTTGCTTTAGCCATGTTCTTGCAGGTTTCTTTTGCCAAATTGGACTAATTACCATATTTAAATTGATTTAATTGAGGGAGGAGACAGGGTGTGGTGTGGTGCTCGTGCATGTGCGCTCAATTTCGCGTTGATTGGGATGTACAAAGAGAATGTATGTGGAATGCTGCGTACGCAGAGATTCATACATCAGATTTTTTTGGTGCGTACGCACATTTATGGCTTTGTCCGTACGCAATGTTTTAGTATGAATTCAACGCAAGTCTTTGTACATGAGGCCCCTGGTGATGTCCATTTCATCCTTTCGTAAATTCAGAGCGCACACTGGACGAGGAGTAGGGTTAATCCGAGCGTTCTGACCTCACAACGGTAGTCAAGCGCCCAAGCTAACTGGCTAAAGTTGTCTAGCTACTTCCAAAACAAATGAGAGAAGACCTCACTCTGACCATTTTACTCGCTCTAGCAGAGCTGATTAGACTGTTTTCATGTTGTCAAGTGCGTTAGTGACTGTAACTTTTTCTTAATCTTCTGTGGGTTTTATGGCAGACTACAACCCAAAAAGGTGTATTACCGCCACCAACTGGACGGGGTTGAAAAAACCAAGGTAAAAATAATACCCATATGTGATAGGAAAAACTAACTTAATCCACCAAAAATAAAACAATAATAAACCACATTGACAAAACCAAACTCCCACTTCTTCCTTCCTTCAAATCTCCATATCTCCCTTCTCAGGCTCTATGACCTCAGAGGGTGGTAAGGCTTGTGACAATACTCCATGCAACTGCTCCACGAGCAGGAAAAATAATAATTGAGTTAATTAAGCTGCATACAAACATGGTCTCTTTTTTGCTTTATTGAGTAAGGCAGCTCCAAAATGCAGGCGTTTCAGCTTGCTCAGTTCTTTCTGTGGTGGTGGGTCAGCCAGCGGAAAATACCGAGCCTAGGGGTTGGTAATGTTCTCTAGTTGCGCCGTGATTGGCTCAGTGTTCTGTCACTCATGTGGACACTACATCACCACCAAGACTAAGGGTAGAGCTCGGAAATTCAAGCCCCTTGGGTGCTGCCATAGAGCTACATTAGAAGTGCCCATCCAAGAAGGCTCAAGGTCTTTGGCCACAGATAAAATGATGTCAAATCACGTTATATCTACAGTAGCTTTGATTGGATTGGTCATGTCAACATCATACTTTCAAAATCTTAGCTAGCAGTCATCATCATGAATCAAGTGGACAATCTACTGGCAAATCCTTTTTAATCCTTGTCATACGAAGAGAAATAATGAAGAGAAATTATAGATAAAACGTATTGGTGCTCATCGGCCATTGGACATAAACATTACACAAGTTGGAAATCGCAAATTCAACAATGAGTGGTTTGGAAGGAATCAGTGACAGTGGCTAACTGCAAGCATTGCAAAGCAATCACTAGCCTGCTATTCAGTGGAGTGGCTGTGTGGTCCCAAATCTGGTATTAAGGGTCTCTTTTCCAAGCTTAAAATTATAAACATTCAACATTGGCCATGCTGTCAATGAAGCATGATTTGTGCCATGCTCAAAACAACTGTTAACTCGGAACTGCGAAATCTGACTTCAGTGAGTTCAAGACAACTGGGAACTCGGGGGGAAAAAACTAGCATCTAATATTGTAAGAGCTTTCATTGTCTGCTTATATTCCCCCTTTATTTATCCTACGGTTCTGACTTGGTGTACAGGGAGAACAATGTAAGAACGGCCCATGTTCTGAATTCTGTCGCTCTACGTTTCAAAAGTGCTGAACAAATAGTTATATTGACTACGTCCGTCCTAGCTCGCTCATTAATGTCTTAATCGAAATTACGGATTGCCTCTTATCCGCTTGTCGTCCCCTTATGCCATAGTTTGTACATCTCAATTGTCAGTAGAAACCACAGTTGTTTAAGCAAGTCAGCCATATCAGCTATGTTTTTTTAAAAGGCAGTAAATGAGGCTGAATGAACTGTTTCGCTGCCAGACAAGGCTCCGCTGATAGCCAGGTGTAGCAGTGGTAAGGTGTTGGGACTGTTGGGACAGCTTTATGTATGCCCTAACAGTTTGTGGGCACCGTTTGTCACCGTTATAGTGCAATTAATGTATTGTTTAGTGTTGTGTAGTTGCTTTGCTGGCATGCATCCCACATTGTTTAGTTTTTTGCCCCACCAAGATTTCCATGCTAAAATCGCCACTGGTTGAACGGCAACCCCTGCAGCCTTCAGTGAAGGCCTATCCACCAACATGGACTTCAGGAGCACCATTCGAACCCTCAACCCTTTTAACAGCCGCTGCATATGAAATGCTCTGGATAGCCCTTACTTTGGCCATCTAATTCTCTTTCACCCTTGTTGGGCATTCCAAAGACGTGGCTTCATGGTTCCCACCACAATTGCAACATGAGTGACTAACTGTGCTGCTAGCAACAATTTAATTGTTATTTTTTGTCAACCTTTACTGACACCTGTCATATTGAAGGGGTGTTGCACGTTTGCAAATTCATCAGTTATCTGCGCTGTGGCATACTCAAACGAGAGTGCTCTGAAATCAGAGTAGATAGTCAAAATTAATTTACGAACGCCCTTTATAATCACAAATGAAGTAAATGAGACTTACTGAGTCTGGCTTCAAGCCTAAAATACAACAACTTGCCTAGCTAACAGCTAAATGTTTGTTTTAGACTTTTATGATTCTAATTCTATTTTCAAGGCTCCACATGTTGTCATGGAAAATATGTATGTTATTTCCAACAATCAATGATCAACTCCGCTTGAAATCCTGTTGCATATAGAGCTAGCCAGCTTGTAGTCCTAAAAAACAGAAATGAGTTAGCATTTTCTGTCTTTGCTTCATTGGCCATTTCTAATTGGGAAATAATGGGGTTTTGGGATATACACAGAAATTAAGGCTTAGGAGATCTTATATGTTATGTTCTATGAGATAATATCAGCCAGTTAACGTGACCGTTATGAATTATGAAGCCTTTATGTGCTTGTTATGGTACAACCCATTGCGCATTAAATGTGTAACGTTGCCTTAAAATGATGCTGTTTCTGTAATCTGTATGGTGCCATGATCATCACTGATCACAGTTTGTGTGATGTTTCATATACACCGTGATGGCAGGTAATGCACCAGGATCTAATGTTGATAATCTAAAAGTACAACCGTACAAGAATGCATGCACATCTGGCCTCATGTAAAGATCAAACAACTATTTTAAGAGGAGTGTTTTAGCAGTCTCACAATCGATATCCATGGTAGAATGAATAAAGCCAAGTCACATAATGTCCCCACTCCTCTCTTCCGGGTGTTGGCAGTCCGCTAACTGGGGTTTTGACTAGATTGGATACAGCTTTTTCAGTTTTGACTTTTCGTAGCAGGTTAGGAGAATTTACACAGCAGGTTAGGATAATTAATGTAGCAGGTTAAGAGAATTAGGTTAAGATTAGTATTAAAAATTGCGTCAATTCAAATCTGGTATTGGAATAAGAGAAAACATGTTCAACAAGTGTTCAATCCAAGCTAAATTTATTAAATGCAAATGTATAGATGATAAGTATGAGAGTTCGTATACGGGCTCACTGAGATACCACGCAGGGCAGACAGAGAACTAAGCCATTGTTCTAAGTTCTTCTTCGAATACTCTGACAGAGATAGTTCCCGCTCCCTGCTGGCCAATCAGAGTAGAGACTGAGCGTGGTTTAGACTTACTCAGCCTATCCGTTGGCGCACAGGCTGGTCCCAGCCCCTTGGCGCTCCACCGTTGCCAGGTGTCTAGTTGTTTTGCAACTTATCCAGAAAGTCAGCACTTTTGCAGTACACGTCCTTGAGCGCGGTCTGTGAGAAATACAAGTCTTATCTCATCCTACCCCCTAACGTTCCTCACATGAATCACAGCTTGTTATGTAAAACAATTTATATCAGTACAGTACAAACCCATTATGTTTAATCATTAATGCATTCCTTCTAAGCTAGTCATCACATCTAGATCCCCACATTAGGAAAAAGGTCAGACTTAGCTAAAATGCCAAAATAAATACACTTGACGTCAATTTGACAAAAGCTGTATCCCTTCTAACCATGACCAAAGCTGTATCCCTTCTAACCATCACCACTTACTGGGTGAAAGGTGATGAGAAGCGCTGGATACACCACGAGCGCCTTCCTCCGCAGTCTAGTATAGGCAATATCCGCAACATTATTTTTTAATTTTGCATGGACGACTGAAGACAACTTTTCACATATCGGAATTTGCAAAATACTAAAGTGAGTTTGCTTGTCATGTTTGTGGGATTAAGCTGCTTCGATCGGACTGCAAACTGAATCTGACCTACATTCGAGCGGTGGGTGAAAACAATGCAACGTCCTCGGGCCAACTATTTTATAGCTAGCTAGTGCACTTGCTTCTGCAGTAAGTAGAACTGGCTTGCTAGCTAACTATGTTTGATCATATGGTTATGTAGCCAGAATTTATATGGTAATCAATTGCTGAGCAAATGTGCTATACAAGTGCTTATTCATGCGATTGGTACAAGGCTGCGCCACCAAGCTCGAATAATAAAAATTGCAGCTGGCCTGCGAGTCTAGCTAGCTGGGCAATTCCATGTTATTTTGGAATTACTCTGATACTCCGATTTGGTTGTATGGTTTGTTAAACTTCGAAGTCAATGGTTTTTGTTTGGCATACATTTTAAAGAGTAATTCCGTTACAATGGAATTGCCCAGCTACAAATTATACAACTATCTTTGTAGATAATGACTGTACTGTAGTAGGGGAGATTGGGGTAAATTGAGCCAAAGGGGTAGGTTGAGCCACCCTTGTTTCTAGGAAACCATAAACAAAATTTATAATTTGACCAAATATGGAAAAAGTGGTAAGGAAGTTAACTTTAGTCCAAAAAACAGATTTTCACCAAGTCATAAATTTGTGTTGGAGGTTTCATGATGCTTGTATCTAAACCAAAGTAGATAATTTAAAGATTGTTCTATTAAAAGGCAAACTCAGCTCCATCATTCATTGAATCAGATGAACCCACTGATACTGGCCAACTACTTTAATTATTTTTTCATTGGCAATATTAGCAAATTTAGGCATGACATGCCAGCAACAAACGCAGATACTACACATCCAAGTATAGTTGACCAAATGAAGAGGTGAACAAATTATTGTTGTCTATCAACAATGACAAGCCACCGGGGTCTGACAACTTGGATGGAAAATGACTGAAGATAATAGCGGACAATATTGCCCCTCCTATTTGCCATATGTTAAATCTGAGCCTACTAGAACGTGTGTGCCCTCAGGCCTGGAGGGAAGCAAAAGTCATTCCGCTACCCAAGAATACTAAAGCCCCATTTACTGGCTCAAATAGCCGACCAATCAGCCTGTTACCAACCCTTAGTAAACTTTTGGGGAAAATGGTGTTTGACAAGATAAAATGCTATTTTACAGTAAACAAATTGACAACAGACTTTCAGCATGCTTATAGGGAAGGACATTCAACAAGCACTTGCACAAATGACTGATGATTGGCTGAGAGAAATGTATGATAAAGATTGTGGGGGCTGTTTTGTTAGACTTCAGTGCGGCTTTTGACATTATCGATCACAGTCTGCTGCTGGAAAAACATATGTGTTATGGCTTTACACCCCCTGCTATATTGTGGATAACCGAACACAGAGGGTGTTCTTTAATGGAAGCCTCTCCAACATAATCCAGGTAGAATCAGGAATTCCTCAGGGCAGCTGCCTAGGCCCCTTACTTTTTTCAATCTTTACTAATGACATGCCACTGGCTTTGAGTAAAGCCAGTGTGTCTATGTATGCGGATGGCTCAACACTATACACGTCAGCTACTACAGCAACTGAAATGACTACAACACTTAACAAAGAGCTGCAGTTAGTTTTAGAATGGGTGGCAAGGAATAAATTAGTCCTAAATATTTCAAAAACTGAAAGCATTGTATTTACATATTACATTACATTACATTTGTCATTTAGCAGACGCTCTTATCCAGAGCGACTTACAGTTAGTGCATACATTTTCATACTAATCTCTTCAAATTGCACACTCCACATTCAATACAATATTCAGGGTTTCGCGAATGAGCTGCTTAGTTTGATACACCGACCACACGGTTAACAGCTATAGGCAGTAACCTGCCCTTCAGGGTATGGAGAACATAATATAATAATAATATGCCATTTAGCAGACGCTTTTATCCAAAGCGACTTACAGTCATGCGTGCATAATTTTTTTGTGTATGGGTGGTCCCGGGGATCGAACCCACTACCTTGGCGTTACAAGCGCCGTGCTCTACCAGCTGAGCTACAGAGGACCACAGAGGAACATGTTGGGAGTAGGTCAGCAACCTGATTCTGCACCGCAACACGTCAAGAGAAAACACAGGATGGGCAGCCATTATGGTGGGAAGCCCCTCCCCCTCTATGGAACCTGAAACAGAGGGACAAATCATTCACTAAACCCTAAACCTAAACTAAATCTTATAATGAATAATGAGGAAATTGAGGTGACTAAACTGCTTGGTGTAACCCTGGATTGTAAACTGTCATGGTCAAAACATGTTGATACAACATTAACTAAGATGGGGAGAAGTCTGTCCATAATAAAGCGCTGCTCTGCCTTCTTAACAACACTATCAACAAGGCAGATCCTACAGGCCCTAGTTTTGTCGCACCTGGACTACTGTTCAGTCATGTGGTCAGGTACCACAAAGAGGGACTTAGGAACATTTCAATTGGCTCAGAACAGGGCAGCACGGCTGGCCCTTAAATGTACACGGACGGAGCGCTAACATTAATAATATGCATATCAATCTCTCATGGCTCAAAGTGGAGGAGAGATTGACTTCATCACTACTTGTGTTTGTAAGAAGTGTTGACAAGCTGAATGCACCGAGCTGTCTGTTTAAACTACTAGCACACAGCTCGGACACCCATGCGTACCCCACAAGACATGCCACCAGAGGTCTCGTCACTATCCCCAAGTCCAGAACAGACTATGGGAGGCACACAGTACTACATAGAGCCATGACTACATGGAACTCTATTCCACATCAGGTAACTGATGCAAGCAGTAGTATCAGATTTTTAAAAACTGATAGAAATACACCTTATGGAACAGCGGGGACTGTGAAGAGACACACACAGGTACAGGCATACGCACACACATGCACTCTACACACACATACATTGTAATATTGTTGTATGGTGGTATTATACATTTTGCATTGTAGATATGTGGTGGTGTAATAATGTTATATGATGTACTGTTATCTTTTGTTTTATGTGTGATGTAAGTGCCTTAATGTGTTTGGACCCCAGGGCTAATGGGGATCCCTAATAAATACAAATAAATACCTCAGTTGGAGTCTCTATAAGCTTCAGTATGAGGTCCAAAACCTAGCATGAAAGTGCATCCTTGTAGTTATGTGGGCTAATATAGTAAATGTTTGCCTTGGGGTAAATTGAGCCAATGGCAAGTTGAGCAAATTGATTTTTTTTTCAGGCATAATGCGACGCATTATTGCTGGAATATGAGGTAAGAGCAGTCTGTCATGGAAAGAGCAGGTGTTGCTAATGTTTTGCACTGGGTGTACAAAACATTAGGAACACCTGCTCTTTCAATTACATATACTGACCAGGTGAAAGCTATGATCCCTTATTGATGTCACCTTTTTAAATCTACTTCAATCAGTGTAGATGAAGGGGAGGATACATGTTATATAAGGATTTTAAGCCTTGAGAACATTGAGATGTGGATTGTGTATGTGTGCCAATCAGAGGGTGACTTGGCAAGACAAAATATTTAAGTGCCTTTGAAGGGGGTATGATAGTAGATGCCAGGCGCACCGGTTTGAGTGTGTCAAGAACTGCAACGCTGCTGGGTTTTTAACGCTCAACAGTTTCCCGTGTGTATCAAGAATGGTCCACCACCCAAAGCACATCCAGCCAACTTGACAAAGCGTTGGAGTCAACATGGGCCAGCATCCCTGTGTAACGCTTTCGACACATTGTAGAGTCCATTCCCCAACGAATTGAGGCTCTTCTGAGGGCGAAAAGGAGTGCAACTCAATATTAGGAAGGTGTTCCTAATGTTTTGTACACTCAGTGTGTAGAGCAATGTTATTCAACTCTTACCCTATGAGGTCTGGAGCCTACTGGTTTTCTGTTCTACCTGATAATGATTACCACCCACCTGATGTCCCAGGTCTAAATCAGTCCCTGATTAGAGGAGAACAATGAAAAAACGCAGTGGAACTGGCTTTGATGTCCAGAGTTGAGTGTGATGGGTATAGAGAATCAATGTACCATCATTGGTTCTCTGTAGCTCAATTGGTAGAGCATGGCGCTTGTAACGCCAGGGTAGTGGCTTTGATCCCCAGGACCACCCATACGTAAAAATGTATGCACACATGACTGTAAGTCGCTTTGGAAAAAAGCGTCTGCTAAATGGCATATTATTATTATCTAAACCACTGTGAAATATTTTCAATAACCAAAAATATTGTATTTTCAGCTATTTGAAGCTGGTGTACAAAACTGAAAGTAAAAGACGCAAAAACTAAACGTAAGAACGGGAAGCATAGAAATAGCGCACATAGAACATATCTACTGCGTCTTAGACTTGCTTTCAACGAGAATGACAGATCTATAACTCACATTTCTATGTGAATTTGGTCAGGTCGCACAAAAAGTTACATATTGCAGCTTTAAAAGGTGCTTAAAGTGATTAAAATATATTTTTTAAAGTGATTGTGTTTGGAAAATAAAGGTAGACATGGTTTTAAAAAGGTAGTGGTAATATTTCATTCAGTACAGACATTTGTAGGCAGTTTAACTTACCCTGTCCCGCAGCTCAACTTACCCCATACCCAGGGTATGTTGTGCCAAGAGACCACTTTTTTTGGACAAGCTATGTTTTCAAAACTGTTTACATGAATTCTGATTTATTTCCAGGGATACACAACATCCTGAAATATATCTTTGTTAGAAAGAATACTATATTTCCCTCAAAATGTCTCAACTTACCCCACTCTCCCCAACAGTTAGCCTGGTCCAAAATCTGTTTGTGCTTTCCAAATGTCAACAAAACAAAATACGCTAGACAAAGCGGGATATTTTTGTCGGTAGAAATGTATATTGCGAGAAATTTATATCACCTGGCACATGCGCAAATCTATGTAAACATCTGCAAGACTTCAGTTAGTATGCATGCATCGGGTGCATGTACTTCCTTCTGTCTTGTGCACCTGCCTTGGTTGATGAGCAAACATATCGTGATAACCACACACAGACCCCAGTTTTGAAGTCAATTTAATAATACTTTAAATCATTTTAATTTCGACCAGCTGATGGACCGACCCCATGGACAATCTACAGAGTAACTTCAAATGAAGTTTATTCAACATTCTGACTTGTAAAGGAACTGTTTTGATTTATTATTTTTTATCTCAAAGTTAGACGAGAGTGGAGGCTTGTTCAGTCCACACTTGGATTTGTAGAGTCTACCAGGCTAGGGGACAGTAGGTCTATGGCTAACCAGGTCTTTTGGTGCTTGTAATGGGGAAATCTAAGATGACTGAAGTTAATATTGAGTTTAGAGTGATCAACACAATGGTTAGCATATTGGAGTTTCTGTTTTGTGACATACAAGGTGTGGGTTGATGGTCAATAGACTTGATGCTGAATGATAGTGCATGATGCCAGACTGGAGGACACACTGATTATTCACTGTTGTATTGTATTGATGACATCCTGTGAACACTGTGATTCCATAGCAGCTGACAAAGTCGTTGCCTTTTTGTTTTGACTTGCTACAAGCCTCTCAGGCTGCTGTTGACAGAAAATTTGGTGCTGTCTGATTAAGACATTAAGGTACAGTCTGGATGCTGTTTCCCTGTTGCAACTTGTAATAAACAGTATTGGTTTTAAATTGACTATCTGCGACTGCTCTTCTCTTTTGTTCACCTGGAAATTCCTTTTACAGTGCTGTAGGTGACAACATGGCCAACCAGGTGTTTTGGTGCTGTAGGTGACAACATGGCCAACCAGGTGTTTTGGTGCTGTAGGTGACAACATGGCCAACCAGGTGTTTTGGTGCTGTAGGTGACCACATGGCTAACCAGGTGTTTTGGTGCTGTAGGTACCAACATGGCCAACCAGGTGTTTTGGTGCTGTAGGTACCAACATGGCCAACCAGGTGTTTTGGTGCTGTATGTGACAACATGGCCAACCAGGTGTTTTGGTGCTGTAGGTTGACAACATGGCTAACGGGGTTTTGGTGCTGTAGGTGACAACATGGCCAACCATGTTTGGTGGTAGGTGACCACATGGCCAAACCAGGTGTTTTGGTGCTGTAGGTACCAATGGCCAACCAGGTGTTTTGGTGCTGTAGGTGACAACATGGCCAACCAGGTTTTTGGTGCTGTAATGTGACAACATGGCCAACCAGGTGTTTTGGTGCTGTAGGTGACAACATGGCAACCGGGGTTTTTGTTGCGTGTAGGTGACAACATGGCTAACCGGGTGTTTTGGTGCTGTATGTGACAACATGGCCAACCAGGTGTTTTGGTGCTGTATGTGACAACATGGCCAACCAGGTGTTTTGGTGCTGTATGTGACGACATGGCCAACCAGGTGTTTTGGTGCTGTAGGTGACAACATGGCTAACCAGGTGTTTTGGTGCTGTATGTGACGACATGGCCAACCAGGTGTTTTGGTGCTGTAGGTGACAACATGGCTAACCAGGTGTTTTGGTGCTGTAGGTGACGACATGGCCAACCAGGTGTTTTGGTGCTGTAGGTGACCACATGGCCAACCAGGTGTTTTGGTGCTGTAGGTGACCACATGGCCAACCATGTGTTTTGGTGCTGTAGGTGACCACATGGCTAATCAGGTGTTTTGGTGCTGTAGGTGACCACATGGCTAACCAGGTGTTTTGATGCTGTATGTGACAACATGGCTAACCAGGTGTTTTGGTGCTGTAGGTGACAACATGGCCAACCAGGTGTTTTGGTGCTGTAGGTGACAACATGGCTAACCTGGTGTTTTGGTGCTGTAGGTGACAACATGGCCAACCAGGTGTTTTGGTGCTGTATGTGACAACATGGCTAACCTGGTGTTTTGGTGCTGTAGGTGACAACATGGCCAACCAGGTGTTTTGGTGCTGAATGTGACAACATGGCCAACCAGGTGTTTTGGTGCTGAATGTGACAACATGGCTAACCAGGTGTTTTGGTGCTGTATGTGACAACATGGCCAACCAGGTGTTTTGGTGCTGTATGTGACAACATGGCTAACCTGGTGTTTTGGTGCTGTAGGTGACCAACATGGCTAACCAGGTGTTTTGGTGCTGTATGTGACAACATGGCCAACCAGGTGTTTTGGTGCTGTATGTGACAACATGGCTAACCAGGTGTTTTGGTGCTGTAGGTGACATGGCCAACCAGTTGTCAGAGTCCCCCGCTGAGCGGACGTTCCAGTACCAGCATAGACTGCCTCCTCTCCCTGTACCGTCTCTAGAGGGGAGCCTCGCCAAGTACCTGGATGCAGGTGAGATGCCAGCTGCATGTGTGAACGAGAAGCTCCGTTAGCATGGACCCTGAACCATGTGTGTTTGTCGAGTAACTGAAATGTCTGTGTGTATGTTCCAGTGCGGCCGTTTGCTACAGAGGAGGAGGACCAGGTGACTGCGGCCATATTGAAGAGGTTTGGAGAGGGCATCGGCAAAGACCTGCACCAAAAACTACTGCAGAGAGCCAGGACACACAGGAACTGGGTACACACACTCAACACACACACACACTCAACACACTGCACAGCTAGAACCTGGGAGAACTGGGCACACACCATGCTCGACCCTGAGCAACAGCAAAAGGGAAACTTTGAGTGTTTTAAATACTAGTCATTACGGTGTTCCCCTGCAGTGTTTCATCTTTATTCTGTGTGTGTTGACCCCCAGTTGGAGGAGTGGTGGCTGGATGCAGCCTATCTGGAATTGCGTTACCCCTCCCAGTTGAATGTGAACTTCGGAGGTCCTGCACCCTACCTAGAGCACTGCTGGCCCCCTACAGAGGGAGTACAGCTACAGAGGACCAGCGTAAGCATGTGGCACACTCTACAGTACTGGGACCTGCTCCGCACGTAAGACACACACACATTGAGTGTACAAAACATTAGGAACACCTGCCCTTTCCATGACATAGACTGACCTGGTGAAAGCTATGATCCTTGAGTGTGTCAAGAACTGCAACGCTGCAGGGTTTTTCACGCTCAACAGTTTCCCATGTGAATCAAGAATGGTCCACCACCCAAAGGACATCCAACCAACTTGACACAACTGTGGGAAGGAAGCATTGGAGTCAACATAGACCAGCATCCCTGTGGAACGCTTTCAACACTTTGTAGAGTCCATGCCTCAATTAATTGAGGATGTTCTAAGGGCAAAAGGGGGGGTGCAACTCAATATTAGGACTGTGTTCCTAATGTTTTGTACACTCCGTGTATACATTCATGCTACACACGCATCACAACTGCTGCTACCAGACGATTGCTAAATAATGGACAATTTAAACATTTTGTCCCCCAATCCCCCCCTTCCCCAAAACACGTGTAAATATTGGCCTATGAATTGTGCCTTCCTGTATTATACTTGTTTAAAGTGTTTATTCTGTTCTACTGAGACATTTACTTTACGTTCCTTATCTTATCTTTTATTTCTTATTGTTGTTGCATTGTCCAGAAGGAACCTGCAAGTAAGCATTTAGTTGGACGGTGTAAATCATGTGTATCCCATGCATACGACTAATAAAATTTGAAACACACACACCTATGTACGTTCAGTACACACTCTCTGACTGTTATCTCCGACAGGGAGAGGCTGGACCCTCATAAGAATGGTAATGTGGCGTTGGATATGGACCAGTTCAGAATGCTGTTCTGTACATGCAAAGTTCCTGGAGTCACCAAGGATACCATCATCAACTACTTTAAGACCGGTAGGTGACCCCCCCCCCCCCCACACACCCCTATGCAATATGATGTTAGTATGTGTGTATTTTTTTTGTGTGTAGTACTTTCTGTTATTTATATAGGCCTTTGTGTGTGTGTGTGTGTGTGTGTGTGTGTACTGATTAATTTTGTGTGTATATTTATTGATGTGTTTTTTCTGTGTGTTGTAGAGAGCGAGGGTCCATGCCCCTCCCATGTGGTGGTGATGTGTAAGGGGCGTTTCTTCTCATTTGATGCAGTGTGTGACGGTCATATTCTTACCCCTCCAGAGCTGCTCAGGTATGCTGGCCAGTGGATATTTAGGTATATTTGTGTGCATCTGCATTTATTTGCATGTATTTATATGCCTTTGCGTGTATGTATCAGTATTTGTGTGTTTGTGGCGTGTGTAGGCAGCTGACCAATGTGAAGCAGTGTTGTGAGGGGGAGCCAGCAGGCGATGGAGTCGCCGCTCTCACCTCAGAGGAGAGGACACGCTGGGCTAAGGTGTGTTTGAAGTTGGATGTATAGAACAGACATCACCATGCCCTAAACGTCTCTGTCTCTCTCGGTCTCTCTGTAGGCCAGGGAGTATCTGATAGGTATAGATCCAGCCAATAAGACCCTCTTAGAGACCATCCAGAGCAGTCTGTTTGTGGTCTCACTGGACGATGCTAAACCCTACGCTACTGCAGAGAACTACACACCGGTACGTACACACACACACACACACACCACAGGCAACCATACCATCCTAAGTGTGGTATAATCTGACCTTTGGCCTTTACCCCCAGTTGACCCGGGAAACGCTGATAGGAGACCCCACCATCCGCTGGGGAGACAAATCCTACAACTCCATCTCCTTCGCCGACGGAACCTTCGGATCCAACTGTGACGTGAGTTACTGTTTGTAGAGAGAGAAAGAGCGATGGTTTGAGATAACAATACTCCTCTGTTGGCTGTAGTGTAATTATGTTTTGTTGTGAGCGTGCTCCCATCTATGGTAATTGCTGCTTTGTGTGTGTGTTGCAGCATGCCCCGTATGATGCCATGGTGCTGGTAACTCAGTGTTACTATGTGGATCAGCAGCTCAAAGCTACAGACGGTAAGTGGAAGGTAAATACAGTTTCTATTGAACTTATTTTTAGTGACTGTATATCTTGTTTGTCCTTAATTCTAAGTGCCTTACTGGCCTGCTAAACCGGACGCATAACTATTGCTGAGTTTGAGACGCTCCTACAGTGAGGGAAAAAAGTATTTGATCCCCTGCTGATTTTGTACGTTTGCCCACTGACAAAGAAATTATCAGTCTATAATTTTAATGGTAGGTTTATTTGAACAGTGAGAGACAGAATAACAACAAAAAAATCCAGAAAAACGCATGTCAAAAATGTTATAAATTGATTTGCATTTTAATGAGGGAAATAAGTATTTGACCCCCTCTCAATCAGAAAGATTTCTGGCTCCCAGGTGTCTTTTTATACAGTTAACAAGATGAGATTAGGAGCACACTCTTAAAGGGAGTGCTCCTAATCTCAGCTTGTTACCTGTATAAAAGACACCTGTCCACAGAAGCAATCAATCAATCAGATTCCAAACTCTCCACCATGGCCAAGACCAAAGAGCTCTCCAAGGATGTCAGGGACAAGATTGTAGACCTACACAAGGCTGGAATGGGCTACAAGACCATCGCCAAGCCGCTTGGTAAGAAGGTGACAACAGTTGGTGTGATTATTCGCAAATGGAAGAAACACAAAAGAACTGTCAATCTCCCTCGGCCTGGGGCTCCATACAAGGATCTTGTCAATGATCTCAAGGCAGCTGGAACCATAGTCACCAAGAAAACAATTGGTAACACATAATGCCGTGAAGGACTGAAATCCTGCAGCGCCCTCAAGGTCCCCCTGCTCAAGAAAGCACATATACAGGCCCGTCTGAAGTTTGCCAATGAACATCTGAATGATTCAGAGGAGAACTGGGTGAAAGTGTTGTGGTCAGATGAGACCAAAATCGAGCTCTTTGGCATCAACTCAACTCGCCGTGTTTGGAGGAGGAGGAATGCTGCCTATGACCCCAAGAACACCATCCCCACCGTCAAACATGGAGGTGGAAACATTATGCTTTGGGGGTGTTTTTCTGCTAAGGGGACAGGACAACTTCACCGCATCAAAGGGACGATGGACGGGGCCACGTACCATCAAATCTTGGGTGAGAACATCCTTCCCTCAGCCAGGGCATTGAAAATGGGTCGTGGATGGGTATTCCAGCATGACAATGACCCAAAACACACGGCCAAGGCAACAAAGGAGTGGCTCAAGAAGAAGCACATTAAGGTCCTGGAGTGGCCTAGCCAGTCTCCAGACCTTAATCCCATAGAAAATCTGTGGAGGGAGCTGAAGGTTCGAGTTGCCAAACGTCAGCCTCGAAACCTTAATGACTTGGAGAAGATCTGCAAAGAGGAGTAGGACAAAATCCCTCCTGAGATGTGTGCAAACCTGGTGGCCAACTACAAGAAACGTCTGACCTCTGTGATTGCCAACAAGGGTTTTGCTACCAAGACATATTTTGCAGAGGGGTCAAATACTTATTTCCCTCATTAAAATGCAAATCAATTTATAACATTTTTGACATGCGTTTTTCTGGATTTTTTTGTTGTTATTCTGTCTCACTGTTCAAATAAACCTATCATTAAAATTATAGACTGATCATTTTCTTTGTCAGTGGGCAAACGTACAAAATCAGCAGGGGATCAAATACTTTTTTCCCTCACTGTATTCATTTCAGTGAAACCTGGGCATAAGCATGCCGGTTCCGCGTGCTCGGCTCAGCATAAAATTCCACTCTGGTTCTATTTAGAAGATCTTACGCCGTAGCCCACACCTGAGAACAATAGGATAAAGTGGCTCTCTATTCCCACTGGCAAACAGTTACACTTCCATGTATCAGGTAATAAACAGGTTAATTTCACTGTGAGTAAGCAACAGTATCATTTTTATTGTGTGTGTCTGTGTAGGGCTCCGAGACAGTGCGGCCTATGCCTCTTCCTGAAGAGTTGGTCTTCACTGTGGATGACAGAGTCAGGAGTGACATTGCACATGCCAAGCAACAGTACTTTGAGACTGTGAGTCCACACACACCCACATTCATGACTCTGTGCGTCTCCCTGGTGGTCAGATTGGACCATCGCAGGTGTTGTGTTGATCACACACACACCCTCACAAGTCCTTACACTCCCCACCTCACACACACAACTCTAATCTGTGTGTGATATCTGGTTTGACAGACCTGTGTGTGATATCTGGTTTGACAGACCTGTGTGTGATATCTGGTTTGACAGACCTGTGTGTGATATCTGGTTTGACAGACCTGTGTGTGATATCTGGTTTGACAGACCTGTGTGTGTGTCTCCAGACCCAGGACTTGCAGGTGGTGTGTTATGCCTTCACCTCGTTTGGGAAAGCAGCTATCAAACAGAGGAAGCTCCACCCAGACACCTTCATACAACTGGCCCTTCAACTGGCGTATTACAGACAGCATGGGAGGTAACACCATCCACCCACCCAGGGCCAACTCTAGCCTTTTGGGGGCCCTAAGCGAGATTTCGTTGGGGCCTAAGCTAAGCCATGGGGTGAAAATACATTATTTTCAGTTTTAAAGTTAATTTATTGTAATTCTACACATTTTGCAGCGATTTATGCCATGTTAATGATTTCTAAGTGAGAGTGACTAACAAAATCAATGGGGGCCCCCTGGAGGTCAGGGCCCCTGGGCACGTGCCCTGTGTGCCTGTTCTGTATTCAGCCATGATAACAAGTTTAGATAGCTGGCTAGACTAACTTACCAATGTAAAACATGTTAGAAGGTGAATTGAGTGACTGCCAGAGCTGACATAACAAGAGAGAAATTGCTGATGTACAACCAAATTTCGAACTTGCACATGGTGTATTCTACTATTCTAACTCTCAAATAATAATCATTTGGGGGGAGGTTGGGGGCCCCCTAGCGGCCTGGGGCCTTAAGCGACGGCTTATGTTGCTTATGCCTGGAGCCGGCCCAGCATCATCCATCCATCCACCCACCCACCCGCCCATCCATCTATCCATCCATCATTTATCTATCCATCCATCCATTCATCCATCCTTCCCCCCCAATATTCTCTCCATAACTGATGATTGATGATAATCCCCCGTCCCAGGTCAGGTAGTTGCTATGAGACAGCGATGACCAGAAGGTTCTACCACGGCAGGACTGAGACCATGAGGCCCTGTACCCTGGAAGCACAGAACTGGTGCCGCATCATGCTCAACCCTGCAGCCAGCGTAAGTGTGAGAGTTTGTGTGTGTCCAATAAACCAGTTAGTTCTTCATTCATTGTCATGCCATACATATAAATCTGGCGACCAGGCTACTTACACTCTGACTTTCTGTGTGTCTCCCAGGCTGAGGCTAAGAGGAAAGCCCTGCTGCTGGCCTTCAACAAGCACAACAAACTGATGGCCGAGGCACAGAACGGAAAAGGTTTTGACAGACATCTCCTGGGCCTGTACCTGATCGCCAAGGAGGAGGGACTTCCTATGCCAGACCTTTTCACTGATCCACTGTATTCAAAGAGGTGTGTGTGTATGATTGTTTGTGTGTGTTTATGGTATGTGTAATTTGTGTGCGTTCTATCTCCAGTGGCGGGGGCGGTAACTTTGTCCTGTCCAGCAGTCTGGTTGGCTACACCACAGTCCTGGGAGCGGTCGCTCCCATGGTGCACCATGGCTACGGGTTCTTCTACCGCATCAGAGACGACAGGTGGGCTATTACACACGCACGTACACACACACACACACACACACTGACCCCACGCAACAGCGTCCACAGTTTGACCAGTAAACATGCACGCACTGACCCCACGCAACAGCATCCACAGTTTGACAAGTAAACACACACACACTGACCCCACGCAACAGCATCCACAGTTTGACCAGTAAACACACACACACTGACCCCACGCAACAGCATCCACAGTTTGACCAGTAAACACACACACACACTGACCCCACGCAACAGCATCCACAGTTTGACCAGTAAACACACACACACACTGACCCCACGCAACAGCATCCACAGTTTGACCAGTAAACACACACACACACTGACCCCACGCAACAGCATCCACAGTTTGACCAGTAAACACACACACACACTGACCCCACGCAACAGCATCCACAGTTTGACCAGTAAACACACACACACTGACCCCACGCAACAGCATCCACAGTTTGACCAGTAAACACACACACACTGACCCCACGCAACAGCATCCACAGTTTGACCAGTAAACACACACACACTGACCCCACGTAACAGCATCCACAGTTTGACCAGTAAACACACACACACACACACACATTATCACCTACAGTGCCTTGAAAAAGTATTCATCCCCCTTGGCGTTTTTCCGATTTTGTTGCATTACAACCTGTAATTTAAATGGATTTTTATTTGGATTTCATATAATGGACATACAAAAAATAGTCCAAATTGGTGAAGTGAAATAAAAAATATAACTTTTTTTAAAAAATTATAAAAAATAAATAACGGAAAATTGGTGCGTGCATATGTATTCACCCCCTTTGCTATGAAGCCCCTAAATAAGATCTGGTGCAACCAATTACCTTCAGAAGTCACATAATTAGTTAAATAAAGTCCACCTGTGTGCAATCTAAGTGTCACATGATCTGTCACATGATCTCAGTGTATATATACACCTGTTCTGAAAGGCCCCAGAGTCTGCAACACCACTAAGCAAGGGGCACCACCAAGCAAGCGGCACCATGAAGACCAAGGAGCTCTCCAAACAGGTCAGGGACAAAGTTGTGGAGAAGTACAGATCAGGGTTGGGTTATAAAAAAATATCAGAAACTTTCAACATCCCACGGAGCACCATTAAATCCATTATTAAATTTTTTTTACATTTACATTTACGTCATTTAGCAGACGCTCTTATCCAGAGCGACTTACAGGAGCAATTAGGGTTAAGTGCCTTGCTCAAGGGCACATTAACGTCGTTTAGCAGACGCTCTTAGCCAGAGCGACTCACAAATTGGTGCGTTCACCCTATAGCCAGTGGGATAACCACTTTACAATTGGGGGGGGGGGGGGGGGGGGGGGGGTAGAAGGATTCCTTTATCCTATCCCAGGTATTCCTTAAAGAGGTGGGGTTTCAAATGTCTCCGGAAGGTGGTGAGTGACTCCGCTGTCCTGGCGTCGTGAGGGAGCTTGTTCCACCATTGGGGTGCCAGAGCAGCGAACAGTTGCTCTGGCACCACAACAAACCTGCCAAGAGAGGGCCGCCCACCAAAACTCACGGACCAGGTAAGGAGGGCATTAATCAGAAAGGCAACAAAGAGACCAAAGATAACCCTGAAGGAGCTGCAAAGCTCCACAGCGGAGATTGGAGTATTTGTTCATAGGACCACTTTAAGCGTACACTCCACAGAGCTGGGCTTTACGGAAGAGTGGCCAGAAAAAATACATTGATTAAAGAAAAAAATAAGCAAACACGTTTGGTGTTCACCAAAAGGCATGTGGGAGACTCCCCAAACATAGGGAAGATGGTACTCTGGTCAGATGAGACTAAAATTGAGCTTTCTGGCCATCAAGGAAAACGCTATGTCTGGCGCAAACCCAACACCTCTCATCACCCTGAGAACACCATCCCCACAGTGAAGCATGGTGGTGGCAGCATCATGCTGTGGGGATGTTTTTCATTGGCAGGGACTGGGAAACTGGTCAGAATTGAAGGAATGATGGATTGCGCTAAATACAGGGAAATTATTGAGGGGAAACCTATTTCAGTTTTCCAGAGATTTGAGACTGGGATGGAGGTTCACCTTCCAGCAGGACAATGACCCTAAGCATACTGCTAAAGCAACACTTGAGTGGTTTAAGGGGAAACATTTAAATGTCTTGGAATGGCCTAGTCAAAGCCCAGACCTCAATCCAATTGAGAATCTGTGGTATGACTTAAAGATTGCTGTACACCAGCGGAACCCATCCAACTTGAAGGAGCTGGAGCAGTTTTGCCTTGAAGAATGGGCAAAAATCCCAGTGGGTAGATGTGCCAAGCTTATAGAGACATACCCCAAGAGACTTGCAGCTGTAATTGCTGCAAAAGGTGGCTCTACAAAGTATTGACTTTTCTTAATAGTTATGCACAGTCAAAATTTCTTATTTTTGGTCTTATTTCTTGTTTGTTTCACAAGAAAAAATATTTTACATCTTCAAAGTGGTAGGCATGTTGTGTAAATCAAATGATACAAACCCCCTAAAAATCCATTTTAATTCCAGGTTGTAAGGCAACAAAATAGGAAAAATGCCAAGGGGGGGGTGAATACTTTTGCAAGCCACTGTAGCTCCAACCTCCTAACACAACACATGAGTGCATTACTAAATAAAATACAGAATAGCTAGACTAGAGGATGTGAAATGATGATTTGGGACCCTCCTCCCCTTCCCCGTCTCTCTGATGACATAATACTGTAGGGAGAGTAATGGTGTTTAGATATCCCTCTGTGAGTATATACCACTAGATAGATGTTGGTGCTTTAGGTCCTGGACAATGCATGCTTGACCAGATAACAGTTGCTATTCCACCTATTAGCCGTGTCATCTTGTTAGTGGGGTCAAGGGTGAAGTTCAATAGTAGTAGTTGGAAAGTGCAGCTGTGTTGTTCCGTCCTCTCTATGAGGGCCAGATTTGTTTAACCTCTACAAGTGTCCGGTATCTGACTTGTACTTCCTGATTCAGGATCGTGGCTTCCTGTTCGGCGTGGAAGTCCAGTCCAGAGACTGATGCAGAGACACTGTTCCAGAACCTGGTTACCTCCCTACATGAGATGCTACATCTGGCTACCACAGCTCAGCTGTAACACACACAGTCTCTAGATGGTAGCCAATAATAGTTTAGTTTTGCACAGATCAATGCAAAGGCACTTTGATTTTATAAATAATAATAAAAGAAAATGTATTCTTTGTTTAAATGCAGTTCAACAAATTAGTTTAATTGACACTTTAATGAATGTAATTCTCTGTGATTTTATGTAGCATCTAGATTGGGAATCCCTGTTTTCAAAATGTATAGATTGAACTTCCTACCATGATTCTGTTTAGATTTAGTCTGTTGTTTATTTGTTGTGAGAAACATTTAGTGTTAAGCCATGCACTGTACCCCGCTAAGCTAACTCACCCTCACCATAACACTTCCAGCCTGCAGTGACCAGCGTAGCGTCACGTGTCACTGGTCATTAGGGATTCATGAACAGTATTACTTTTCCAGAAGAGTGACATGGATGTTCTTGATTGGTTGAAATGACTCTCTTTAGAACGTAACTGTAGCTGTGAAATGGGAAGTGGAAAAACTGAGAGAAACAGGTAATGTTATCTTTGACTACAGTATGGCCTCATGGGTATTATATAAGGGCCCTACTCAAATCAAAATTGTTTTCCAGTTTCCGGGGCAAGAAAAATGATAGTTTTTATGTTTTGCACATCACTAGAGGATTATGCATTTGGATGCGTGTCCCATCAATGAAATGGTGTTAAAAGTGTGGGTGAGGCAGAAAGAAACCCAAGTAAATTCAAAAGTGCCTTTTTGCTGTGTCCTTATTTTAGTCTGTTCCCAGAGATCTGGTTAGTGGTTTTGATTGATTGACTTCTTAGACTTCCAAAGCGGCTGAGTCACTACCACTCCTATGCCAGATCCATATGCCACCACCCTATGCAATATGCCATTCTATGTAGATGTCTGTAATAATGAGCATTCCTGTATACCTGTATGTTTATGTTTAAATCTGCAGTGACTACTGTGGTAGTCATGGAATAGTATTTTATTTGTAGCAAGACGAACTTGGCTAAAGCAGAAACAGATTGGCATCTAGGCTTTGTTATTTGATTGATTCACTTGACTAGTTTTCCCTCCATTAATCTGACTAGTTTTCGCTCCATTAATCTGAAGCTTTATCAACATCATACTGACTGAAATGTTCAACTACTCTGATATGGCTTTTCATTGAATATTTACTTATTTCACATTCAATGACACTGAATGTAATAACATTGGGCCTGTTCGACATTGCAGCCGACAGTGCCGTCACAATTTACCCATGATACATCACGGTTTTGATGCTCTCAAACACGGCCATTGTGTTAATACCTTCAGATATCCTTGAGATCTGAAGAGATTTTCAGCATGTTTTTTTTTGTTGTAAATGATAGAAATGTGATCAAAGAAGAGCACTGCACTTGATTCAATCAACGAAATGAAAATAATCTGTTTTAATGCCTAAAGTAGTGAAAATGATGTAGGACAATTATAGTATTGACTTACTGACAATGGAAACTTGGAAAATGTTGAATTGAATATGAAACTTCTTTAGTGTGATTGAACTGACAAATCAAACTGAATGAATCATGTCATGAGCCCAAATATTCAAATAAAAACATATTTATTAATGATACCTGTTTACATAAATAAAAAAGTAATGCATACATACATACATACCCAAGCAGAGGTTGTTAATTCAGTGCAATTGTAGAAACAGGAACGTGGTTTGTATCAATATACTGTTAGTGGTTGAGCCCCAACCCTCAGGTGTGTGTATGTATGTATCTCTCACTCACCATCTTAGCTACAGGTAAGTCAAACAAAACAGGAACTCTTTGGTCCTTTTAAATACCTCAGGCACTTCCAGTAGCATGAGAATAGCACAGAGACAGTTGGAAGACCACATCTCAAGATAAACAAACGTATAAAAAAATATATTCCTCAACATTAAAGTTCCAATGCATCTGTTTTTAGCTCAATATCAAATCATTTCTGGGTAACAATTAAGTACCTTACTGTGATTGTTTTAAATAAATAAAAATAGCTTCTTAGCAAATAGCAATTTCTCAAGCAAGAATTGTGCTAGGGCTGTCTGGTAGTGGGGAGGGGAAAACTGAAAACTAGCTGTTATTCGCAGAGAGGTTTGGAACTCTTTCTTACTGGTCTATTAACCAATGTATGCCTGGTGATGTCACTAGGCAGGCCAAAACTCCATCTCACCAAACCAGGCTGAAATTTCAGGCAGTCTATTCAAACAGCTTTTACACTAAAAGGGCATTATCATCATTTTCACAGTTTCAGAATTACCTTTATTCTCTCATAGTGTGGAAATATATATAAAACACAGGAAAATCTAGTTTTTGCCTGCACTGGACCTTTAAAGGAAAACTCCACCCAAAAACTATCTTTTGGTATTTGTTTCATTAGTCCATTGTTGACATAGTCCCAAAATGTTTTGCTTATCAGCACTCAAGTTTTCAAGATATGTAACTTTCAAAATACAGAAATCATCCCTGTATGATGCATTTTGCATCATATGATGCAGTGTTTTGTATCATATGATGCAAAAACATCTACAGGATATTTCTGTTTTTAAAATTACAATCTTGGACAAAGAAACAAAAAGCCAAATAAGTTTGGGGGGAGTTTTTCCCTTTCAGCCAAAATAAAAAAAGAACAAATTAATTAATAATCTGAAAAATGAGGGTACTACTGTGTCAATGAGTCTCATTGGGTTAGTCCATAACATTTTTCAGTAAACGAGACGTCGTATTGGTTGTTCCTGTATCTTTGCAACCAGGCACTCTATGGACAGATTGGGTACTTTTTTAATAAATAACTGAAATACTGCCCACCTCCTCTTACTTTTACACAAAAAACTCCCCCGACCCCCCCCCCAGACCTCCCTGCACCCTCAGCCCCCCCCCCTCCCGCACCCTCGCCCCTCCCCCGGGCCTAGCACCCCCCCCCCTCAGCCCCTCCCGTCCCAGCACCCCCCTGCCCTCAACCCTCCCTTTTCCCGCACCCCCACCCTCCCATCCCACACCCCCCCCCCCCCTAGCCCTCCCGGTCCCCAGCACCCCCCTGCACCCTCAAGCCCTCCCGGTCCCAGCACCCCCCTGCACCCTCAAGCCCTCCCGGTCCCAGCACCCCCCTGCACCCTCAAGCCCTCCCGGTCCCAGCACCCCCCTGCACCCTCAAGCCCTCCCGGTCCCAGCACCCCCCTGCACCCTCAAGCCCTCCCGGTCCCAGCACCCCCAAGCCCTCCCAGTCCCAGCACCCCCCTGCACCCTCAAGCCCTCCCGGTCCCAGCACCCCCCTGCACCCTCAAGCCCTCCCGGTCCCAGCACCCCCCTGCACCCTCAAGCCCTCCTGGTCCCAGCACCCCCCTGCACCCTCAAGCCCTCCCGGCCCCAGCACCCCCCTGCAGTCTCAGCCTCTCCCTCCCTTTTCCACTCCTCTCTCTATTCTATCCTCTCCTCCCTCACTGTCATGGCCCAGCTGTGTGGTAACCAGTGAGTTGTATACTCCTCTCTTCCTCTCCTCTCTTCATCCTCCTCTCTTCCTCTCCTCCCTCAGTTTCTGCCATGGCCCAGCTGGGTGGTAACCAGTGAGTAGTATACTCCTCTCTGGGACAGTAGTTGTTGATGAGTGCCCTGCTCCACCACCACACCCTTCTGGAAGACAGCGATCAGGTCAGCGTTCTGGATGGTGGACAGGCGGTGGGCCACCACGATACATGTCCTGCCCTGCCGAGCCACGTCCAGTGCCTCCTGCACCACCTGGGGGAGGGAGGGAGGGGGACAGGGAGAACAGAGAGAAAAAAACATACAGTAGTTATAAAGTCTGTATCATGAATCCAAATAGAGATATATAGTTTAACAGCACACACACACACTCACCCTTTCGCTCTCTGTGTCCAGTGCGGAGGTGGCCTCGTCCAGCAGCAGGACTTTGGGGTTGCGGAGGATGGCTCTGGCGATGGCTATACGCTGCTTCTGACCTCCTGACAACTGGGTCCCCTTGTCACCGGCTTGGGTGTCATACTTCTACTCAGTGGGATGGAGGGATGAGGGGAGGGAAAGAAAGAAAGACAGGTTATCCTCGTCATCTCACACAGGACATAAGTAAATCCTAGGGCTGGTTTCCCCAACACAGATTAAGGCCGGGATTCAATTTACGATTGAGCTGACATGCGTAGCGTTTACCATGAGCATGAACGCGAACGTCTGGGGAAAATGCCTTTAAAAGGCGTATTGTTGGCTGTGTAGTGCTCTATGCTACAATGCGCCTTGCATCGAATCCCGGCCTAAATCTAGCCCTGGACTAACACACATTCACCATTGAAAATTGCTTTTTAAATCCAGGATTAGGCTTCATCTGTGTGTGAAAACCTTCCTAGTGAAAGACAGTTTACCCTTACACAGGGAACAGCACTAAGATGACATGAGCTTTATGAGTCCAGTAATGACCTGCAGTGTTATCTCTAGCACGGCATCTGAGAGAAGCTGATACCACTATCAGTCTGTCTGTGGTTATCTGACCATGCAGCCGCTATTAGGGTCTTGGTGCTGATGTGGAGATCTCAAGAAACCAAACTTACAAAAGCAGAAGATGCTTACAGTAGTAGTAGCAGCAGCAGCAGTAGTAGTGGTGACAGTAGTAGTATTGGTGGTAGTAGTAGTACATTTTAGTCATTTAGCAGACGCTCTTATCCAGAGCGACTTACAGTTAGTGCATACATTTTCATACTGGCCCCCCGTGGGAAACAAACCCACCACCCTGGCATTGCAAGCACCATGCTCTACCAACTGAGCTACAGGGGACTACAGTAGTAGTATTGGTGGTAGTAGTAGTAGTGGTTACAGTAGTAGTAGTAGTAGTAGTGTTGACAGTAGTAGTAGTATTAGTGTGTACCTGAGGCAGGTCGTCTATGAAGCTGTGTATGTTGGCAGCTTTAGCAGCACTCTGGATCTCCTCCATGGTAACTTTGCGTGTGTTGTCTCCGTAGGCAATGTTCTCTGCCAGACTACAGTCAAACAGCACGGGCTCCTGGGATACGATGCCCATCTGGGCCCTCAGCCAATGGATGTTAAGCTTCTTAGCATCACTCTCGTCCAATATCTGAGGAAGAAGAGTTAACATCAAAGTTGGATAATCCTCTAATGTTTGTCATTTTATCAGTGGCCTTAGCTGGGCAATCACACACACACACACACACCTTGAGAAGTGCAAATAACTTCCACACGAACATGCACTTTGAGCAGGAACATAACCCACAAGGTCTCAGTACAGTAGAGCCAGTATAGTAGAGGGTTATGAAGCAACAGTGTCAACATCCTTTGCCTGTCAATCAGTAATTATAGAACCCTGTTTCAGTAGGACAATATCTACACAGTCACACACGGAGACGCAAGGAGAACACATGGAGACAGATGGCGAACACATAGAGGACACATTACATTTACGTCATTTATCAGACGCTCTTATCCAGAGTGACTTACAGTTAGTGAGTGCATACATTTTCATACTGGCCCCCCGTGGGAATCGAACCCACAACCCTGGCGTTGCAAACGCCATGCTCTACCAACTGAGCTACACGGGACACATGGAGGACACATGGAGGACACATGGAGGACACATTGATGTATTTTTGCATATAAAAATTCCAGCAAATATCTCACTGTCTGACTGGTGACAGTGGTCATTCAACATACAGTACATATAGCTTTAATAATCAATGTGTGTATACATGTGTGAAAGAGTCTATGTTTGTGGGAATGTGCGGTGTTTGTGGGAATGTGTGTGTGTGGGTTGGTTCTATCCTTGTGGGGACCTGAAATCCCCAAAAGTCCCCACAAGGATAGTAAAACAAAAATATCCCTTGTGGGACATTTCCACGTCCCCATGAGGACAACGGCTATTTTAAGCTTAGGGGTTAGGTTTAGGGTTAGGGTTACAATTAGGGTTAGGAGTTAAGTTTAGGGTTTGGGTTATGGTAAGGGTAAGGGTTAGGAGTTAGGGAAAATAGGATTTTGAATGGAAATTAATTATATGTCCCCACGAGGATAGAAGAACATAACATGTGTGTGTACCGTGTGTGTGTTTGTGTGTGTGTGTGTACACCGTGTGTGTGTGTGTGTGTGTGTGTGTGGACTCACCACTGTGCCCTGTAGTGGGTCGTAGAACCGCTCCAGTAATTGTATGGTGGTACTCTTCCCACAGCCACTGCTGCCCACCAGGGCTAGAGTCTGTCCCTTCTGCACCTTCAGCTCCAGCCCCTGCAGGACAGCAAGGTCTGGACGGGACGGGTAGTTGAACCTCACCCCCTCGAAACGCACGTTACCATCAAAGTGGTCCTGGAGGGAAGAGAGGGAGGCAGAAGAACATCAGTTCATGAAATAAACCCATGGCATGTACTATACAATCACTCCACACCTCTCCACTGTGATAGCCACTGTGTGTGTGCGTGTGTGTGTGTGTGTGTGTGTGTGTGTGTGTGTGTGTGTGTGTGTGTGTGTGTGTGTGTGTGTGTGTGTGTGTGTGTGTGCGTGCGTGCGTGCATGCGCGTGTGTGTGTACCGGTGTTTCTCCCTCTTGTGAGCAGTTGTCTATGGCAGGTTCTCTGTTGATGAGGAACATAAGGTGAGATGCTGATATCTTGGCCTTGGCGTAGTTAGGCGTAAAGGAGTTGGCCTCTCCTACTGCCATGGCTCCGTACAGCACTGCAGAGATCACCCTTTAGAGAGAGACAGAGACAACAGGTTACTATCTATCTAACATGTATCTTAAAGGGATAGTTCACCCTGCAGAGATCACCCTTTAGAGAGAGACAGAGACAACAGGTTACTATCTATCTAACATGTATCTTAAAGGGATAGTTCACCCTGCAGAGATCACCCTTTAGAGAGAGACAGAGACAACAGGTTACTATCTATCTAACATGTATCTTAAAGGGATAGTTCACCCTGCAGAGATCACCCTTTAGAGAGAGACAGAGACAACAGGTTACTATCTATCTAACATGTATCTTAAAGGGATAGTTCACCCTGCAGAGATCACCCTTTAGAGAGAGACAGAGACAACAGGTTACTATATATCTAACATGTATCTTTAAGGGATAGTTCACACTGCAGAGATCACCCTTTAGAGAGAGACAGAGACAACAGGTTACTATCTATCTAACATGTATCTTAAAGGGATAGTTCACCCTGTAGAGATCACCCTTTAGAGAGAGACAGAGACAACAGGTTACTATATATCTAACATGTATCTTAAAGGGATAGTTCACCCTGTAGAGATCACCCTTTAGAGAGAGACAGAGACAACAGGTTACTATCTATCTAACATGTATCTTTAAGGGATAGTTCACCCTGCAGAGATCACCCTTTAGAGAGAGACAGAGACAACAGGTTACTATCTATCTAACATGTATCTTTAAGGGATAGTTCACCCTGTAGAGATCACCCTTTAGAGAGAGACAGAGACAACAGGTTACTATCTATCTAACATGTATCTTAAAGGGATAGTTCACCCTGTAGAGATCACCCTTTAGAGAGAGACAGAGACAACAGGTTACTATCTATCTAACATGTATCTTAAAGGGATAGTTCACCCTGCAGAGATCACCCTTTAGAGAGAGACAGAGACAACAGGTTACTATCTATCTAACATGTATCTTTAAGGGATAGTTCACCCTGCAGAGATCACCCTTTAGAGAGAGACAGAGACAACAGGTTGCTATCTAACATGTATCTTAAAGGGATAGTTCACCCTGCAGAGATCACCCTGGAGAGAGAGACAGAGAGAACAGGTTACTATCCATCTAACATGTATCTTAAAGGGATAGTTCACCCTGCAGAGATCACCCTGGAGAGAGAGAGACAGAGAGAACAGGTTACTATCCATTTAACATGTATCTTAAAGGGATAGTTCACCCTGCAGAGATCACCCTGGAGAGAGAGAGACAGAGAGAACAGGTTACTATCCATTTAACATGTATCTTAAAGGGATAGTTCACCCTGCAGAGATCACCCTGGAGAGAGAGAGACACAGAGAACAGGTTACTATCCATCTAACATGTATCTTAAAGGGATAGTTCACCCAAAGTACAACATTACATATTGGTTTCCTTACCCTGTAAGCAGTCAATGGGCTGCTTTGGTTTGGTTTACCTGGCCACTGTTTCCAGATGCTAACTTTTTAGCATTTGTGGCACAAGTACAATGCAAGTCAATTTTACCAATGTTATATTTACGAGCTTCATGTTCAAATCACCACTGCTTCAAGTGCCCAAGACACATCTCTGTACTATGGGGGACCGAGCCTTCTGCTCCATTGCCCCTCGCCTATGGAATGCTCTCCCTGACCATCTGAGAGCCGCTACATCAATTGGAGCCTTTAAAACGGGCCTTAAAACACCTTTCTACAGACTATCTTTCTCATAGTCCTAATCTGAAAAGTATTTTAGCACCTAGCCTACTATTGCTATTGCCGATGTAGAGCTTTGAGATAACACTGTAATGAGAAGCGATAAATAACTGCATCGAGTTACACAATCAATTTAAGATGCTATGATTTGGACATGAAGAGCAAAATTGCATTGCTTTTGCGTCACAAATGCTAAAACTGTGTATCAAGCTCAGAAACTATTGTATCAAGCTCGCTAAAGTCTAATTTAAGTTCAATTTAAATTAGAGAAATTTCTACTTGACATTGAAAGTGACATAATCGAACCACATGACACTTAAAGGTGCAATATGTAGAAATCGCGCCTAATAGTTTGCCTAATTTTTGTTTATGTGACAAAACAAGCAAAAGAGAATCATTGTACCATCTAAACCACTGTGAAATATATTTTCAATAACCCTAAATATGGTATGTTCAGCTGTTTGTCGCTGGTGTAAAGAAACGAGTAAAGTAAAAAATGCAAAAACGAAACTTAAGAAATGAAAGCATAGAAATAGTGCAAATAGAACAGACCTACCGCTTCTTATACTTGCTTTCAATGATAATGGCGGATCTATAACATACATTTCTATGTGAATTTGGTCGGGTCATCCAAAAAGTGATATATTGCAGCTTTAATGACAATAGTAACATCTGTTTATGACAGATGTTATGTTGCTGTTATGACAGTGTTATGTACACCTTTTCAAATAAAATGTCATCTAAGCCTTTAGTTGTGTAGCCGTTAGTCGTGATATCTACTCTATAACGTCCATTTCTATGGGTCACATGTCAGCAATGACATGGCTATATGGCCATTGATGCTACGATGATGAGTCCCTAGATCAGCGTTGACCTCCAACACACTTCCCAGTGAGGTAATGATTAACCACAACCACCTTTGACCACTGTAATACCTGATATTCCTGTCAGGTCTAGATGAGCTGGGCCGGGGGGTGTGTTCTACTGTACCTGAGCTCTACTGTACCATGTACACAACATCCGGAACACTACTGTACCTGTCTCCACCCAGCACCCATATTAGGGAAGCAATTGAGTCGTTCCAACATGGCCTTATAGTCACATAGCAAAAGGCTATAAGGACAGTTGTGAACATGGACACATGACTGAAGTATGTAAGTAAGGTAGCTGCTGTACTCACAGGAAGACATTTTCGAAGGTCATAATGCCTTCCTCTATGAGCCAGGCTCCGAAGCGGTAGCAGCCGGCATAGGCAAAGTAGATCATAGCCTGAGAGAAGGAGAATGTGATGCCATACACATGGGCCTTCTTCTGAGAGTTCCTACAGAGGGAAAGAGAGAGGGAGAGAGATTAAAGAGAGGGGTGATTACATAAACAAAAGTTATATAGTACATTTACAAGACTGATACTGTTGACACATTAAAAACACAGCACTGAATATAACTTTTTTTATAATGGAAATTATAAACTTTGTAGCACACGTACTTGTAAGGCACTATGAGGTTCTCCTGGTACAGAGACTCAAATGTCTGCTCTCTGGTGAGAGAAGCCACCGTACGGATGTTCTCTATGGCCTCTGTGGCAATCTGACACACACACACACACACTGGTTAGACTCGAGAGAAGAACGTATAGATATTCACTGTGGCAAACTTTGGGAGATATGAAGAGAGTGCATAAGACAGTGTGGGTGGGTGTGTGTGTGTGTGGGGGGGGGGGTGTACCTTGCCAGCCTGTTCTAGCTCTTTCTTGTCTTTGACAGCGTGACCAGAGAGCATCTTCATCTCTATGCCTCCAGCTACAGCCATGACAGGTACCACAGACAGGATGAGAAGAGTCAGCTGCCAGCCGTACACAAACGAGATGATCAGACTGGTGCTCAGGTTAGCCACGTTCTGGGCCAGAGTGGCCAAACGCACTCCTGTAGCCTGGAGAGGGAGGGAGGGAGGGAGGGAGGGTTAGTGTGTGTGTGTGTGTGTGTGTGTTGTGTGTTCATGTGTGTGCTTACTACTTACCCCCTGTACTTGTGCTGCGTCTGTAGCCAGTCTAGTGGTGAGAGCTCCAACACTGTTCTTGTGACTGTCATACCAGCCCAACTCCTACAGGAGAACGGAGAGAGTTACATGTTAAAATTGTCTCTATAACCTCTATGAGCCTTTATAAACACTCCATAAGCCCTATAACCTATAAAAACGATTTAAGCCTAAATAAACAGCCTTACCTTTGTTAAACACTATAAGGCTTAATAAACAGCCTTACCTTTATTAAACACTATAAGGCTTAATAAACAGCCTTACCTTTATTAAACACTCTAGAAGACTTAATAAACAGCCTTACCTTTATTAAACACTATAAGGCTTAATAAACAGCCTTACCTTTATTAAACACTATAAGGCTTAATAAACAGCCTTACCTTTATTAAACACTATAAGGCTTAATAAACAGCCTTACCTTTATTAAAACACTATAGGGCTTAATAAACAGCCTTACCTTTCTTAAAACACTATAAGGCTTAATAAACAGCCTTACCTTTATTAAAACACTATAAGGCTTAATAAACAGCCTTACCTTTATTAAAACACTATAAGGCTTAATAAACAGCCTTACCTTTATTAAAACACTATAAGGCTTAATAAACAGTCTTACCTTTATTAAAACACTATAGGGCTTAATAAACAGCCTTACCTTTATTAAACACTCTATAAGCCTAAATAAACTGTCTTACCTGTCTCATCATGGATTTAAAGGCCATCAGTCTCAGCTTCATGGTCAGAATCTCACCAGCCTTCCCAAAACAGAATCCCTGGAGAGAAGACAACCATATATCACAGTCATAGTAAGTAAAACTTCAAGATGCTGTAGAAATACAAGGCGGGCCACTGAACTGCTGTAGGATAGATACAAACCTAATCCCTCCCACATTCTGTGGTAATTTGGTCAGAAAGTGAGAAGTCCGTCTGTCGATCATTCATCCTATTATTTAGCATTAGGTGAGGTGTGTGCTTACCTGTAGGAACATGGTTATGAAGGAGACGACTCCAATGGCGGCGAACATGATAGAGTAGAAGGAGGAGCGTTGTCTAACCAGTTCTTGGTCTTGCTCTGCAAACACCTGAAACATGACAACAACACAAACATGATCATCTGAGGTGATGCTATTTGATGGAATATGACTAATTCAACTTACAGCAATGACTTGGGATAAGATGAATAAACTTAAATAAATGAGTAAACATTTAATGATGATAACTGGTATTAACTGATATTTAACATACAGCGATGATTTTAGAGAAGATGACAGCGAAGAGAGGCTGCATGCCTCCGTTGATAGTGGCACAGATCACACCAACCACCATATAGGGCCACTCAGGAAGGTTCAGCTTCAACACCTTCAGAAACGACACAGGAGGAACCTCCTCATCCTGGGGATAGAGAGAGAGAGAGAGAGAGAGAGAGAGAGAGAGAGAGAGAGAGAGAGAGAGGATAGAGAGATAGAGAGATAGAGAGAGAGATAGATCGAAGATCTGGAGAGAGAGACGAGAGCTCCTCTTCTCTATCGCGCTATCTATCGCTCTCATATCTCTATCTGACTCTATAGCTCTAGATCTCTCTCTCTCTACTCTCTCTCTCTATCTCTCTCTCTCCTTCTCTACGCTCTCTCTCTACCCTCTACATAACAGCGAGGATGCCCTCGAGAGAGAGATCATCAGAAACATTCCAAATGGTACACCAATTATGTTCCACAGTGTATCCACTACTGATCCTAGATTTAAATGGGAGTATCCATTCTACCACCTCTAGCTCCATGGCCTTACCTCTTCCTCCTTCTCAGTCTTGTCCTTGTCTCCTTTCTCTGAGCCGATGAAGGATGATCCCTTGGTAGACTTCCTCCTGATGAGGGTGGTCTCTGAGAACGGCGTCACTGACGCACTCTTCTCCTCCAGAACCTGCTCCTCCACCTCCTCTTCGCCCTCCTCAGAACTCTTAAACGTCTGGAAGAACACAACAGAATAGATTATAGAGGAAAATGTGTGTGTATTTGTTCGTTATGTGGCTGTTTCGATAACGTTGTTTCCTAAATGGTGACGTAGATGCAAGATGTGTGAGGAGCGTTTGTGTGTGTTACCTGCATGGTGACCAGTGTGTGGTAGACTCCTTCTTTTTCCATCAGTTGGCTGTGTGTTCCCAGCTCTACAATCTCTCCCTTCTGGAAGCCGGCGATGACATCAGCATTACGGATAGTAGACAGACGATGGGCCACAATGATGGTAGTACGACCCTGTCTCACCTGGTGGGAGGAGGGAGGGAGGGAAGGAGGGAGTGGGAGGGAGGAGTGGGGATGGAGGAGATATGGGGAGAGAAAGGGGGGGGCATAGCAATGTTTAGTAGATGTTGATAAACTGGTGCAAAGGGTGCATGTGTGTGTGTGTGTGTATGTGTGTGTATATATGTGTGCGTGTATGTGCGTGTGTGTGTCTGTGCGTGTATGTGCTTGTATGTGTGTGTGTGTGTGTGTGTGTGTGTGTGTGTCTGTGTGTGTGTGTGTGTCTGTGTGTGTGTGTGTGTGCCCTCTACCTTGTCCAAAGCAGCCTGTACGATGGTCTCACTTTCGGCGTCAAGGGCTGAGGTAGCCTCATCCAACAAGAGGATCTTGGGGTTACGTACGAGAGCACGTGCGATAGCGATCCTCTGTTTCTGTCCTCCACTCATCTGGGTCCCTCTGTCTCCAACCAGAGTCTCAAATTTCTGCTCAACAGAAACAATATTATCAATATACTGTAATCAATCATTATCTAGCATGAGTTATAGTACTGCCACTACACACACACAAACAAACACACACACACAGAGACACACACAGACATAGACACAAACACACACACACACACACACATACAGTAACGTACGTCAGGTAGTGTCATGATGAAGTCGTAGGCGTTGGCCTCCCGGGCAGCCTGTTCTATCTCCTGATGAGTCACGTCAGGTCGCCCGTAGCGAATGTTCTCAGCGATGGTGGTAGCAAACAGGATGGGCTCCTGACTGACCACGCCAATCATCTCTCTCAGGAAGCGCACGTTCAGGGAGCGCACGTCATGACCGTCTACATACACCTACAGAACACAGAGGGCATAGTTACAGAACCAATACTGTGTGTGTGTGTGTGTGTGTGTGTGTGTGTGTGTGTGTTTTCCATGATACTCACTGATCCCTTTTGTGGATCATAGAACCTCTGCAGCAGCTGAACGGTGGTGCTTTTCCCACAGCCGCTACTGCCTACCAGGGCTATGGTCTGGCCACTACGCACCGTTAGAGACATTCCATTCAACACCTACAGAGAGAGACACACAGAAACACCCCATTCAACATCTACAAACATCTACTTGACATCTACATCAACACACACACACACACACAAAGAAGGTAGCACATACTTTGACGTCGGGTCGTGAGGGGTAGGTGAAATGGATGTTGTTAAACTCTATGTTTCCTTTGATGACATCAGGCTTGTGGCCGTGGTCTGAGTAGCTGTTGATGTGGGGTTTCTGAACAGACCGACAACAACAGCAGTGAGGCTTAGAACATAAACATATACAGTTGAAGTCGGAAGTTTACATACACTTAGGTTGGAGTCATTATAACTTGTTTTTCAACCACTCCACAAATTTCTCGTTAACAAACTATAGTTTTGGCAAGTCGGTTAAGACATCTACTTTGTGTATGACACAAGTAATTTTTCCAACAATTGTTTACAGACACATTATTTCACTTATAATTCACTGTATCACAATTCCAGTGGGTCAGAAGTTTACATACACTAAGTTGACTGTGCCTTTAAACAGCTGGTAAAATTCCAGAAAATGATGTCATGGCTTTAGAAGCTTCTGATAGGCTAATTGACATCATTTGAGTCAATTGGAGGTGTACCTGTGGATTTATTTCAAGGCCTACCTTCAAACGCAGTGCCTATTTGCTTGACATCATGGGAAAATCAAAAGAAAATCAGCCAAGACCTCAGAAAAATAATTGTAGACCTCCACAAGTCTGGTTCATCCTTGGGAGCAATTTCCAAATGCCTGAAGGTACCACGTTCATCTGTACAAACTATAGTATGCAAGTATAAACACCATGGGACCACGCAGCCGTCATACCGCTCAGGAAGGAGACACGTTCTGTCTCCTAGAGCTGAACGTACTTTGGTGCGAAAAGTGCAAATCAATCCCAGAACAACAGCAAAGGACCTTGTGAAGATGCTGGTGGAAACAGGTACAAAAGTATCTATATCCACAGTAAAATGAGTCCTATATCGACATAACCTGAAAGGCCGCTTAACAAGGAAGAAGCCACTGCTCCAAAGCCGCCATAAAAAAGCCAGACTACGGTTTGCAACTGCACATGGGGACAAAGATCGTACTCTTTGGAGAAATGTCCTCTGGTCTGATGAAGCAAAAATAGAACTCTTTGGCCATAATGACCATCGTTATGTTTGGAGGAAAAAGGGGGTACCTTGCAAGCCGAAGAACACCATCCCAACCATAAAGCACGGGGGTGACAGCATCATGTGGGGGTGCTTTGTGCAGGAGGGATGGTGCACTTCACAAAATAGATGGCATCATGAGGAAGGAAAATTATGTGGATATATTGAAGCGACATCTCATGACATCAGTCAGGAAGTTAAAGCTTGGTCGCAAATGGGTCTTCCAAATGGAAAATGACCCCAAACATACTTCCAAAGTTGTGGCAAAATGGCTTAAGGTCAACAAAGTCAAGGTATTGGAGTGGCCATCACAAAGCCCTGAGCTCAATCCTATAGAATATTTGTGGGCAGAACTGAAAAAGCGTGTGCGAGCAAGGAGGCCTACAAACCTGACTCAGTTACACCAGCTCTGTCAGGAGGAATGGGCCAAAATTCACCCAACTTATTGTGGGAAGCTTGTGGAAGGCTACCCAAAACGTTTGACCCAAGTTAAACAATTTAAAGGCAATGCTACCAAATACTAATTGAGTGTATGTAAACTTCTGACCCACTGGGAATGTGATGAAATAAATAAAATATGAAATAAATCATTATCTCTACTATTATTCTGACATTTCACATTCTTAAAATAAAGTGGTGATCCTAACTGACCTAAAACAGGGAATCTTTACTAGGATTAAATGTCAGCAATTGTGAAAAACTGAGTTTAAATGTATTTGGCTAAGGTGTATGTAAACTTCCGACCTCAACTGTACGTGTGATCATTCAAAGCAGGCTACCAACTAATACTATTACTGTACACATAAATGATACCATAAAATACTACAGGCCTATTATATTGTCGGTAACAGTTTTTCAACCAATATGGTGCGTGAGAAGAGTATCCTGGTTTATACAGAAGCATCAACACACACAGACACTGAGAGGTCTGGTTTATACAGCAGCATAAATATCCCCTTTTGAAGACTTCCTGTATTCCTGACTGCTCAGTGGGGGAAGATGGTCTGATTCTACTGTGTTAAGCGCTCTACAGAGTCCAAACCGTTTCCCCGTCCACACCATAAACATTATATAAGTAGACAGAAATTCTAGCTTGAATTCGCGTCCCATTCAGAGCAGACCCGAGCTAAAATGGTGGACCGAATCAGAAATGATTGTTTCTGGTGGGAGTGTGGTGGTTGAGGACTGTGAATTGTGCTTTAGCCTCCTGCTCTCTACACCCCTCTATTTTAGCCCCCTCCCTCCACCCTCTCACTTTCCATCAGACCCCGCTGTCTCTATGAGTCCCCTGCCTCTCTCTCCCCTCTTTCTCAGAGGGACAATAGGAGGAAGAGTGTTAGCCAGAGGGCAGGTTTATCTACGTGTGTTAGCTTAGCCCTGTTTATTTACACTAGTTTTCGGGTTACAGAGCATGTGTGTGTGCCTGTCTGTTCCAAGGTGTGTGTGTGTGTGTGTCTCTCTCTCTTTCAGATACCCCTGGGAACCTCACCCTTCCACAGTTTCCCCTTGTTTTTGTCTTTGGTGTGTGTTTGTGTGTGTGTGTGTGTGTGTGTGTTTGTGTGTTTGTGTGTGTGTGTGTGTGTGTGTGAGAGAGAGATTGGGGGGAGAGTTAAAAGAATGTAACTTTGATTTTTGTTGATAGTAAAAAGTTAGTATTCCAACACAACATTTTGATGGTCAGGGTATTCATATTCAACCACATTCCTCAGTGTGTATGTACTGTGTGTAAGCATGGTAAGAGCAGGTCTGTCTGTCTGACAATCATGAACCATTAACAAACGCACAGTGAACTAAGCACAGTCCATTCTGCTATAACCACAGTGATGCTTTGCTCTGTGTTGACCCTGATCAGCCCAGACTGTGTGGGTGTGTGTGTGTGTCTGTCTGTGTGAGGAGAGGGTGTGTGTCTCACGTTGTCGATGATGTTGTAGACTTTGTGTGCCGCCCCCCGGGCGCTGGCGAAGGCCTGGACATTAGGAGAAGTCTGTCCCATGGCAAACGCCCCGGTCAACACTGTGAAGAACACCTACAGGACACAAATTAACATCAGTAAGTGTGTGTGTGTGTGTGTGTGTGTGTGTGGACGTGTTTAACTATAGTACACTAAGACAAATTTGTCCAACTGGGGACATTTTGTTAGTCCCCACAAGGTCAAATGCTATTTCTAGTGGGGTTTAGGGTTAAGGATAGCATTAGTGTTAGGGTTAGAATTAGGTTTAGGGTTAGGAGCTAGGGTTAATTTTAGGGTTAGGAGCTAGGGTTAGGTTTAGGGTTAGGGTTAAGGTTAGGTTTTGGGGTTAAGGTTAGGATTAGGTTTAGGATTAGGGTTAGGTTTTGGGGTTAAGTTTAGGATTAGGGTTAGGTTTAGGGTTAGAGGTTAGAGAAAATAGGATTTTGAATGGGACTGAATTGTGTGTCCCCACTAGGTTAGTTATGCAAGACTGTGTGTGTGTATGTGTGTGCGTGTGTGCGTGTGTGAGCGCATGTGTGCGTGTGTACTCACGGTGAGGACAGTTCCAATGGTGTATTCTCCAGATATGATGAGTGTGCTGCCATACCAGAAGGACAGAGCGTAGGACAGGTAGATCATCAGGAAGGTGAAGCCCATAGCTATGTTAGCAGAGATGGCTTTACGGATCCCCATGTTCATAGCATCCTCCAGGTTCTTCTGGTACCTGTGGTACAAAACACCACACACACACACACACATAGGAATTGAAAGAGAGAGAAAAACACAGAGAGAATGAGAGAGAGAGACAGAAAATGAGAGAGAGATACACAGAGAGAGCGAGAATGAGAGAGAGAGAGAGAGAGAGAGAGAGAGAGACTCAGGGAGACAGAGAGAATGAGAGAGAGAGACTCAGAGAAACAGAGAGAATGAGAGAGAGACTCAGAGAGACAGAGAATGAGAGAGAGATACACAGAGAGAATGAGAGAGAGACTCAGAGAGACAGAAATAATGAGAGAGAGATACACAGAGACAGAAAGATGGTATACATATGAAAACAAACCACACTAATCCAATTGTCATCTGCACTGATGGTTTTACACAGAGTGGTGTGGACTGGTCTATCCATGTACAGAACAATAACAACTACTGACTGCTCAGGCTAATGGTCTTCACAGCAGCAACAAGTCCTTTAGGAACATTATCCTGGTGACCTGTCCGTTGCCTTAGTTACCGCTCCATTAACGTTAGCAAAAAGTCTCCATTCTACCCCCCTCTCTCTCTCACACACACCTGGTTATCTCCTTCTGTTGTCCACCGAAGGCGAAGACTGTTCTGACAGAAGAGATCACCTCCTCAGCCACGGCTCCAGCTTTAGCATAAGCACCCTGCTCCAGGCACGTGAAGGATGTCAGTACCTAGAGACACACAACGGAGAAAGAGGAGAAAGGGAGTCAAGAGAGGTGTTTGTGTGTGTTTGTGTCTGTGTGTGTTTGTTTGTGTGTGTGTGTGTGAGTGTGTGTGCACGCTCACGCATGCACGGGTGTGTGTGTGTGTGTGCATGGCCATGTACGTGTGTGTGCGTGCGTGTGTTTGTGTCTGTGCGTGTGTGTGTGTGTGTGAAGCCCACCTTGCTGAATATAAAAGCAGAGAAGCCCAGCACAGGGCTGACAGCCAGGATGACCAGGGTGAGCTTCCATCCTTGGCTGAAGCCGATGATGAAGGCAGCGATGAAGGTGGTGAAGGACTGGATCAACATGCCCACCTTGTCCCCTATCCCCTCGTTGATCTTATAGATGTCACTGTGGAGGGGAGGAAACACATAATAAAACACACACACACACACACACACACACCTACATACAGTGGGGGAAAAAAGTATTTAGTCAGCCACCAATTGTGCAAGTTCTCCCACTTAAAAAGATGAGAGAGGCCTGTAATTTTCATCATAGGTACACGTCAACTATGACAGACAAAATGAGAGAAAAAAATCCAGAAAATCACATTGTAGGATTTTTTATGAATTTATTTGCAAATTAAAAAACTCCAAACACGACGAGTTGAGTTTTTACCAAAAAGTTCTATTTTGGTTTCATCTGACCATATGACATTCTCCCAATCCTCTTCTGGATCATCCAAATGCACTCTAGCAAACTTCAGACGGGCCTGGACATGTACTGGCTTAAGCAGGGGGACACGTCTGGCAATGCAGGATTTGAGTCCCTGGCGGCGTAGTGTGTTACTGATGGTAGGCTTTGTTACTTTGGTCCCAGCTCTCTGCAGGTCATTCACTAGGTCCCCCCGTGTGGTTCTGGGATTTTTGCTCACTGTTCTTGTGATCATTTTGACCCCACAGGGTGAGATCTTGCGTGAAGCCCCAGATCGAGGGATTTTATCAGTGGTTTTGTATGTCTTCCATTTCCTAATAATTGCTCCCACAGTTGATTTCTTCAAACCAAGCTGTGGAGTTTGGAGTGTGACTGTTTGAGGTTGTGGACAGGTGTCTTTTATACTGATAACAAGTTCAAACAGGTGCCATTAATACAGGTAACGAGTGGAGGACAGAGGAGCCTCTTAAAGAAGAAGTTACAGGTCTGTGAGAGCCAGAAATCTTGCTTGTTTGTAGGTGACCAAATACTTATTTTCCACCATAATTTGCAAATAAATTCATTAAAAATCCTACAATGTGATTTTCTGGAGAAAAAAAATCTCAATTTGTCTGTCATAGTTGACGTGTACCTATGATGAAAATTACAGGCCTCTCTCATCTTTTTAAGTGGGAGAACTTGCACAATTGGTGGCTGACTAAATACTTTTTTCCCCCACTGTACACACACACATACACACACATACACATATACACACCCACATGTGCACACGCACCATATTTGATTGAACAGGGCTGTTTAAACCCCAAAGCTACATCCAGACGGTATCAATGTAAAAAAAAAACACCCTCACTCTATAAAAGCCAATCCATTCCTATAGGTAGTTTACTCACTCTGTTAGGCGTGTGTTGAGTTCTCCCGTCTCGTTGACGTCGAACCAGCCGATCTCCTGCTGCATGATGCAGTGGAAGAAGAGCTTCCTGAGGCGCTTGACCTGCCTGCCTGCCGCCAGTGTCCAGAAGGCCACCTGCATGTAGGCTGCTACCAACACCACCGCACCTATTATAGAGTAGTACACAGTAAATTTTGAAGTGTTAAAGTAACACTTAAAGAGTTAAATTTAACACTATTTCTGAGTGTATATGGTCCCACCCTGAAATAGTGTTAATTTGACTCTTTTCATAGTGTTAACATTTTAGAGTTAAATTAACTCTAAATAGAGTAAAAATTTAACACTCGCTTACACTGAATAGTGTTATTTTAATTTTACACTAAAGGTTAAATAACACTGGAGAGTGTAAATATTACCCTTGGAAGAGTTAATCATTTACTCTTCTAAAATAACAAATCAACTCTGATTGAGTTTGATTCCAGTCCAGTTTAACACTGCATGGAGTTGACACTCAAGGTTAAAATAACTCTGATAAGTGTTGATGTTACACACTATTGTGTTGATAATTGACTATCTTGCAGTGAAAAACAAGCTCAAATAGAGTCAAATTCTAACACCGTATAGTGTCACGGAAATAAATCTCAGCAGTATTCATTTTACACTTTTTTAGTGTCAAATTACACCAAATACTCCATTAAGTGAGTAAAAATCACAACTTACCACAAAATAATGCATTTCAAATTTTTATTAACAGCTCAACTATGTCAGGCTAAAATATATTAAGAATACAAATCCCTTTTTAAAACATTGACCTTAGGTTTCCATAAAATGGCAATAGGGAACAACATACAAGGAGGAATCTGTCGTTCCATACTTCATTTGAACATCAAAAGGTTTAAAGTAACACAGTTCAGTAATGTTGATCACCTTTTGAACCCTGTCTGGATGCATCCTGACCTTAAAGGCATAGTAATGGTAATCAAAACACACTGTTTCCATCAGTTTTCCACAGAGCAATACACAGTCATCTTTCACAGCAATAATTTTGATTTTACAAAATACAGGCATCTCAAATGCTACCTCAGTACAGATAATGAAGTCACGGCGGTACTCTGTACCATGATGTTTGATCCACTTGGCAGAAAACACACTGGTAGACAATACAGACCCAAATTTTAAAGCAATCTCGGGACCTTCTTTGAGCTCACTAAGTGTTACCATCTTCCCCGAACCTAAAGTTAATCTTTCCTTGCTAAAGGACTCTCGATACATTGCCATACAACTTTGGTGCTTTTTGGCTAATGTTTTTGTTACATTTTTAAAGCTTTTTAATTGCTTCTTAAAAAAATTATGTTTAGCTTCATAACGCATGCACCACATGTGCAGAACTGGGCCGATGTTTTTTATATTACGAGGGTAATGAATCATGAAGTGATGCTTTGGTAAGAGATTGATTGCAGGAAACAACTGCTTGAAGAGCTGATGATGATCAATGATTAAATGTTTGAGGTAAATGGTCATGCCTTCTGTAAGGACTGGGGAAAATACAATGTTAACAATGTGTAGAAGCAAAAGTAGAAGATGCCAGTGCTGGTCATCTGACTGTATTAAATCACCAAATAGCAAAGGCATATTACGTAATAAGCACCAAGACTGTATAGCATTCAACCCCAAATCATTACTTCCATCAAACAACTTTACTCTAGGTGGACGGTTTCGCTGCTGATTGTATCCATAGTCAAAAGCATGTATTCTACCAGCCAGTTGTTCAGCATTTAGGAAGTTTTCCTTAATGTACTGCAGGACAAGTTTGACTTCAAACTGAGCAACTCCTTCTAAAATATCGTGCATTATATCTACAGAAAAATTGTTGGCTGTATTAAAATACTGTAGTGAATTCAGCAGACAAATGCGTTTGACACCATAGATATGAGGTAGTGTAGGATCTGTTTGTAAAGTTTGACAGTGCAGTTTGTGCATCTCGATAGTTCGTAGTACAACTTTTGGATCATCTTCACAGAACACAGTTTGAAAACAATCTTTCTCAAGGAGACAGAAACGACAACAATACCTTGCCCCAAATGACTCCACAAAGCCAAATAAACCATGCAACCCAAGATTATCACCAGTGACCTGAACTATGGTACCGTGAATCACATCTTTCAATCTGGGAACTTTAAGTCCCTCTGTCTCGAGTACTTTAAGATCACTGACAAGTGGCTCAAGTATCAAATTAAAACCATAACGCTTGATGTCCTGCGCATGGAAAAGAGCACCCAAATGAATATTTATCAATGATGAATTAAAGATTGGGGGAAAATTCCTTAATGTAAAGTATATAGCACCTAATTTGTGTATACCCTTTTTAGACCCCAAGGGGTTTGCTGTTTCAAAGTCGTCATAAAATAGCTGGATCTGTATGGCATCTTTTTCTATAGAGAATAAGGGACTTTTTTTAAAATAGGCGGCATCTCTCAAGTCTGCATACACACCTTCCTTGGGCATGTGCCTGGGCTTGAACATGTCTGCAAGTTCTGGGTTTTGAAAAATGGCCTTTAGTGTTTCTAAAATAGGAATATATGCAAACTTGTCAGTTACAACGACCTGATCGTATGTCCCAGTTGTTTTGTTTCTTCTGCTGTCAAATCTTGTGCCAAGCACCTTTTCAACAGGTTCTACGATTCCCCATTTCTCTTTGAAGTGTTTATTTCGTTTAGCTTCTGAATTTAAGGGTGTGAAAGGGTTTTCCAACTTTTGCAAAGATTGTTCTATTCTGTTCTTATTTTCAGTTTCCTGTGGAGATAAGCACTGCAAAGCTGCATCTGTAGCTTGACTTTGAATCTCAAAAAACACTTCTTCCATGGAGGAAACAAAACTATTTACAGTAGATTGACTTAATCCAGCTGCTTTTAGTTGTGCAACAGCAGAGGCACACATATCTAGAGTGCTCCTGTTGGACTTTTTCAACAGAGTAGATGTGGCTACCTCGTGTTCATTAACTGTCCGTGACGTTGTAGCTGTCTCCTCTACATTAGTGGTCACTGCCTCTCCAATGCTGCTTAAATAAACATCAGGGTCAACCTGTTGGTCAATATACTCAGTGTGTTTTGTGTTTAAATGTTTCCTAAAACCAGAAAACGTACCAAACGCACAGCCACATCCAGTCTGAGCACATTTAAGCCGGAGATTTTTTCCAGGCAAGTAACCGTGAACTAATCGTAAATGCCTAACAAGCATATTTGAACTCGATAACTCAGCCTGACAAACAAAACACTTCATGTTCGAGGAGAAACTTCAAGCACTAATGAAGTAACCTCGCCCTGATTTCAGCAACACGAGGGCTCTCTTTGACCTTGCCAGCATCGATGCTGTACACTGTAGTTTGGATGAAAGTGTACATGTTGTGGAGCATGGTGTTGTAGGATGTGCCAAACACAAAATGTGCCTTAAATAGTTCGTCAAAAGCAACAAGAGAAGAGGTTGACCTGCAAGGTATGGCATTCTTGTCGATAATGATGAAGAACTGGTGGATTGCATTCTTCTTAACTCCAACAGCTAGGAGATAGGGCTGAGCGCTAGTAGTGATGGCATCGAGATGCTCTTGAATGTTTGTTCCGGTCTGCGAAGACAAATGAGGGAAAACTGTAGTTAATGGCCAAGTAGTTGTAGAATATGCAGAAAGAGCCAATACACTACTCTTATTGAATATGAATATTGAATGAATACTTGTAGCCTAATATTAGGTGTTCATACCACAAATTAGAAAAAATACAAACCTTCTTGAATACCACAAGATGTTTCTCTGCTTGGGATGCGGAAACCTTTCCTGGTCTCTTCCGACCCTGAGCGGAGGGTGGAATCAGGTGTATAAGCAGTAAAACCGATGACAGATCACTGTCCCAACCTGTAACAACACAAGTTCAATGTTAACACACTTCAGTTACGTTGTTTTCTTTACAAAAGACCCCCCAGACAGACAGCAGTTCTACATCACAAGAAGTTCTCTAACTAAAACATCCACAGGGCTGAGTCAAATCTCAAAAGTTTTGTTCAATATACTGCTACAGAACGTACTCGTAAATCTTTCACAGATCCAGCTTCTTAGTATTATGTTGATATTTAAATGTTTACACATAATGTTGATATTGCAATACAACACAAAAGGTAGGCTTACAAGCATCTTACCAAAGTCAACATCCAATTCAGTGCCATCCTCAGGAGGATCAGCTGCCAGCAAGAGTTCTTCAAGCTCACTTGTGGATGGAAGCTTTCTGCATTGTTTGATGATCTTTTTCTTGAACGTGACCGGCCACCTTTCCAGAAGCTTGCTTGAGGTATCCTCTCCGAACATTAGAACAAAATCCTGTTCAACCTGGAGTGGGGTGGTGTTGGTGACAATTTCAGTTATTTGACAGCCAATCAAATTGTATTGCGTGCTAGTTTAGCTAGCTAGTATCACTACAATGTCTTACAAAACAATTCACTTGTCATAGTATTTTCAAAATAACATAATTACCAAGCTTTTGACGTCTTTAAAACGTGGAAACTCAGACAGTATGTTGCTTGACTGCTGGGGGTCGAGGATCATTTTGCGGCGATACACAAACGTCAGTTCCATTTTCTTCTTGATTGTGTCTGCATCAGCAGAATGTTTCATCAGTGAGATTGCTTTGTTGCACTCATCATCAGTCAGGGCAGTCTCTGGAACAAACTGGGATTCTCGTCTGACAGTCGGTCCTCCAGACATGTCTTCACCAGTTGATCCTTTGGCTGATTCTACACAACACGGGAAAATTTCAATCATGTCAAAAGTTTTAGTAGCCTGGCTAACTTTTAAAGGAAGTACTCCACTGTAAAATATACTTTTTGAGCTGTAAACTAAATGATATGAATGATATGTTTGATGCTAGGGAGTGTGGCAAGCTGGTTTAGCCAAGGCCAAATGGGAAGAAGGCCAAATTACAGGTGTTGGCCATCTGAGGGGCAGAGGACAGCAAAGGGGGGGGGGTGGTTACATGATATATATGAATGTATATGGAGCGTGATAAAAAGGTGACCTTGAAATTGTGGCGTTAATGGCGACGCAAGGAAAAAATTTGGGTGCACCTACATTTTGTGCTGGTGCACCTAAATAAAAAAGTTAGGCGCACAAGTGCAACCAAGACAAAAAGTTAGTGTGGAGCCCTGCATCAATGCTGGTGTTAATATTGACATTATTTCTTCACAATTTATGAAATCTGCAGTTTGTGGGTTGAAAAATGTATGAAAATGCCATCTACTGGTTTAAATCACCCTAAAGTTTGCAAGGCCAGTTTGCCAGGGGTTGCCTCGACCAGTCAGTGTCGAGGCAACCCCCCCTTATGTCACAGTCCTTTGTAGGTCTCTGATGCATATTTTCTTTAAATTTGCTAAGAGGGAGGGAGCTAGCAGAATTGAAGGATGTAGTTACACATTATACTATATGTCTGAGAAATAGTGCAACAAATGCAATTATTGATCTAGCAACTGTTTTGTTCCATACATTTTCCAGTATTACCTCCGAATGATGATCGCCTGTCTTTGGCGGTGCCTCTCTGAATAGTTTTAATCCTCCAGGCCAAGTACCCAGTTCCACTCTCGCCATCATAATAATGCTCCTTGAAGGATGAAAGGATAACAAAAATGGATACTTCATTGAAAACAACATGGTCTGGTAGGATTCAAAAACTTCCAATAGCATTTAACATTACAACTATTACTGTGTGCAACTCACATAGCCATTCTTAGAGAATGGGTCACTGAGGTACGGGAATAAGGTCACTATTCCTTTGGCATACATTTCTTTCACCTGTCTGGGTGGAGATGTACTGCAAAATTGAAGAAGAAAGGATTGTGCAGTCATATTCACTTAGATTCAGATTTAGATTTACAGATTGAGAACACAAGGACTATTAACAAATTACCCATTCTTTTCTGTCATGTCAGCTGCCAGCATGTTCACCATTTTGCGTCTTGTTTCATCCGTCAAGGACTTGGTTCGGTTGTATTCATTTATTATACGTTCCCCACCGGTTTTGTTGGTAAGAGCTGATTCCACCAACTTAAAACAAAATGCATAACAATTCTGCATGTTATGTCCACTGCAAATAAACTGGAAATAAACTAATATGATGTCAGAGGATGTCCCGATCCAATCTCAAAGATTGCAAGTGCTACAAAAATCCAATGAAAAAGCCAATAATGGTAAGAAACTCCCTCCAGACAGCGACAATAACTTGAATGTACTCGAAGTGTGCACTGTATTATCAATAAATAAATAAAAGTATCTGATCAGGACTCAATATCAGCAGATACTTTTTTTAATCGGATAGGGCGCTTAAAAAAACTTGATCGGGACATCCCTAATCAGGACTTCAAAAATGTTTTGAAACCATGTAATTTACAATGTATATTAATGTAATTTTAATTCTCTGAGAACAGATTCAAGAACAGAATTTAAAATGTCAGAATTGTCTTACTTGCTTGCCTTCTGTATCCAGCCTCTGGCGTTTTCTGGAGGGGCTATCTGAAATAATGACTGTATCCTCAGAGTCCAAGGTATCAAGGGATGATGGTTGGGATTGCTCAGAAGAGGCCACCATGGAGACAGATTCTAACCATGATTTTTAGAAGAAAAAGAATTATATATAGTTCCCTCATAATCTAAGACACTTATTTAATAGACACCATGAACTTCATAAAACAAAGAAATAACGTATTCATTAATTAGTCTAATTAACTGAAACAAACCTGAGTCATATTTGATGGTTAGCACCCCAGTTGAGGGATCCTTTATAATATCCTCAAAAACATCATCATCCAATTCAGTCCCTGAACTGTCAACAATTTTCACACCTTCTGTTACAGCTGGGACACCAAACTTTGCAAATGCTAGAAAAAACAGGGATAAAAGCTTGTGTAAACAAAAGTAAATCATTATTTATATAATAATTTCACTGTGTACACCTACCTTACCCTATAAAATAGGTTTTAAACAAACACTATTAAGTGATTAAAATGTTTTTTTTTGTAGCATCATAACTATACCTTAAGCAATGCATCCACAATTAAAGTGTAGTTACCAAGGGCAAAACAGAAGAAATTTAGACGTACAAAAATGGACCAGTTCCAAAAACCTGAGAACTTAACATGTCCCATCATTTTAGGAATATTCCAGTATATCAATTTTAAACAGCTAAATTCAGACAGTTATTACTAACATTGTCAAATTCTTACCTGCAATCAAAAAGTCTTTCAGATTTGGCTCAGTTATTCTGACAAATTTTTGGACATCTCCAAGTTTAGCTTTAAGCAGCATGCTCCCTGCAAATAGTATCAGTACAATTTCTCACAGTTAAAAAGTTGATGGTCTTATTTTAGCAGTATTTCCTCAAATATAAGAAAAAATATTGTTTCAAGCCACCAAAGTGCTGAGAAATGATCAGCACTTTTGCAGAAATGGCCAGTTAAATTGAAGTTACTGTCAAACACATTAAAAAGGATAACGTCTGATTTTCATCCTTGTAACATTAATGTTACCGCCTTGCCCGCACAATTACTGCAATTGTTGGGTCTTGGTATATTATAGAGTGTGGTCTAGACCTACTCTGTCTGTAAAGTGTCTTGAGATAACTCTTGTTATGATTTGACAATATAAATAACATTGAATTGAATAATGTTAGCTAAACGTTACACCATAAGTGTGTGCTAAGATAGTGCTTAAGTATTTTAACAGTACTGCTGCTGCTTTGAAACCCGAAAGTCATTTTGTATAATATCCAGGAAAAAAATAAAGGCACACCGCTTAAGCAGTGTCCAAGGTTAATGTCTACCCGCCGTTAACATAATAAATCCATGCCACCCGCACATAGTTAGCCAGTCAAGCTAACGTAGCTAACTGTAGCTAGTTTAGCCAACTCCCCTTAGTCTTTGCTATGTTCCTGTAATATCTGAACGTTAACAAGAAGTACACAATCCCCCCTCCACGTTGTATTAACATAACTTACAATAAATCGGGCTGACATTGTCTAGTTTGAACGTTATGTTCGTCAGTTAATGTTAATTAACGTTAGCTTAATACTGCTGGCACATGGACTGGACAGAAGTCAGTCACAACATGTTAACGTTAGCCTTTTTAAAATTCGACATTTTAAGACCTAAAACCAACTAGAGTGCACTGTTAGCAACGATATAAAGTAATTCTTAAATGCTGCTTCTGTTAAAATGACAAATAATGTGTGTATAGTCGCTTAGGAGAAACTTACCGCAGTCATTCCACATGAAGAAAATGGCGCCGTGAAAATGTGTGGTCCGTTTGAGTCGAGTCGTAGGTGGGCGGAGCTTTCCAGAGTACGTCTGACACTGCGTCTTTTAACAACGTACTTTTTCACCAACACTGGGCGGTATCTTACTCCAACTGTTGTAGTAATAACTCTGTAAGAGTCAATGTACTTTGACACTGCATATTTAACACTATGGAATTTACTGTGTAGATAGCATGGCTGAAACACACAGACATACAGCTGGTCAATACACACACATCTGGACACACACAACCTTAATGATGGTTTGTAGATAACTGGGACATAGGGGCACAGTTTAGCGAATAATGACATTGTAAACATAACGGTGACACAGGGCATTACGTGACAGTGCACATACTGTATGTGTGTTTACATTACGCAGGTGAATCTATACGTATATATCTATACAAAATACCATCCATTATGGAGTAAATAGCAAGGGTACAGAGACACAAAGTCAGAGAGGTAAAGGTGATCTCCTGAATATGCCATTTGGCATTAACATTTATTTTATAGTTAAGTAGCTCCTTATCCTGGACCGGATCTTTAAATTCTGAGGCTCTGTATCCGTTCACATATCTAAAATATGTAAAATCGGCGTGTTTCAACGTTCTGTGGTTAAAAATAAAAGAAGGTCCTAAAAAATCCTACCCTATGACATCATTGAGTAGAATTAAAAGTTTTCAAAACCTGCAACGAGTTTCAAGCCAGGGGGAGTGCATTTTCCAGCACCCAGTGTCACCGCGAATCTCATAGTTTGAAAATCACAATTTTGAAAATGTCTTTACTTTTAATGACATCATAATTTTTAAAGACCTTTCATCTTGTATTTTTAACCACAGGACATAGAAACACCGTTTCCACATTTGTAGACCCTGGTATGGTGCTGGAGATAATGAATATGAGGTTGAAAAGTGGTGGAATTTCCCTTTAACTATGCAGTTCACTCTGTCTACGTTCTGAAAATAGATTAAGTCCAAGTTCCCGCGATATACTGTGAGAATTTGCGGACTCACCGATACGGATCCTCAGAAATGAATCCGGTCAAAGATCAGGAGCTACTCCTTTCTTGGTAAAATGAAATATCATCTTATACTCACCCAGTCATTTCCTCTCCCAGAGTGGTGTTGAAAACAGGGAAAGTGATGTCTAGAGCAGGAAAAGATGTGACAGTTAGACAGTTAAAGGGCAATTCCGCCACTTTTCAACCTCATATTCATTATCTCCAGCACCAAACCAGTGTCTATATATGTGAAAACAGAACGTTTCTATGATCTGTGGTTAAAAGATAAGAAGAAAGGTCCTAAGAAAAGCTTCTCTGTGACATCACAGTGATTTTCAAAACCTCCAACGAGTTTCTAGCCAGAGGGAAGGTAATTTTCTTGATCCCCATGTCACCACGAATCTCATAGTGTTTGAAAATCACTGTTTTAAAAATGTTGTGACTTTTGATGATGTTATCAGGTATAACTATTTAACTTTATATTTTTTCTACAAAATGTCGTTTTCACGTGTAGACACTGGTATTGTGTTGGAGAAAATGAAAATGAGGTTGAAAAGTGGTGGAGTTGCCCTTTAAGAGTGTGTGTGTGTGTTTGTATGCGTGCATGCTTGTGTGTGTGTTTGTGTGCATGCTTGTGTGTGTGTGTGTGTGTGTAGGGACTGACTCACTGGTGAAGTTATTCTGTGTCTGTATGGAGTCTCTTATGAAGCTGTCAGTCATGTCCCCAAAGACGATATACATGAGAGGAAGGACCGTTCCATTGACAATGGCCATGATGGTCCCCAGCACCATCATCAACCTGTCCCAACCATCAGCAAACCTGAACTATAGAGGGATGGGGGAGGAGGAGCGAGAGTGAGGGGCAGGGTGGGGATATGAGGAAAGTGAGAGATTGGGAAGGAGAGAGAGAAAGGGAGTAAGAATTAAAGAGGGGGAAAGATGAGTGGAGAGGAAAAGGGAGAAAGATGGACAGATGAGCAGAGAGAGAAAGAGAACATATGAAGGTAATAAATACTCTGGGTCAGTGGAGGCTCCTCAGAAGGATAGGACCATCCTCCTCAGTGAATTTCATAAAAATAGAAATTGTAAAAAATTAAAAAAGTTATCCTTTTTAGATAGAAATATACTAAATATAATCACGTCACCAAATAATTGATTAAAACACACTATTTTGCAAAGAAGGGCTACAGTAGCCTCAACAGCACTCTGTAGGGTAGCACCATGTTATAGCCGGAGGACAGCTAGCTTCCGTCCTCCTCTGGGTACATTGACTTCAATACAAAACCTAGGAGGCTCATGGTTCTCAGCCCCTTCCATAGACTTACACAGTAATTATGACAACTTCCGGAGGACGTCCTCCAGCCTATCAGAGCTCTTTCAGCATGAACTGAAATGTTGTCCACCCAATCAAAGGATCAGAGAATTAATCTAGTACTGAAAGCATAAGCTACAGCTAGCTGGCACTGCAGTGCATAAAATGTGGTGAGTAGTTGTCTCAAAGAGAGAGAAAGACAATAGTTGAACAGTTTTGAACAAATTAATTTCTTCCAAAATTAAGGAGAAGCAAGAGAGAAATATAGAGAGAGTCCTTTTTTTTCACTTTCAGTTTCACTTACTTGGCTAGCAAATGCAGCTAGCTAGTTTAGCTTACTGAAACACCCTGCTCAAATAGAGGGATGCTATGTTAGCTAGCTGGCTATGACTTTCCAACACAACACTGGAACTCTTCCAAGTCAAGGTAAGCTTTTGGTATTACTAATTTATTGCCACCAGGGCCCGCCGGTGTAACTGCTTACTGACTGTACACTGTAACGTTACTGCATGATTGTTGCGGGTTTACTAACGCGTTAGTTCTAAAAGCTATGCTGACTATGACGTTACATTAGCTAATACGGTGACAATGATGTAGGCTGTGTGTAGCGGTTTGGATTGGAAAGGTTTTTTCGCCTGGTCACATACAACTGATGTGTTGTGCATTTAAGTCCACAAGCGAAGGGAAGAGGTGAGAGGAGGAGAGCGCATAGATGCGACAAGGAATACAACGTGGCTGCTATGAAAGTGAACTGCGTGATCAAGGGTGTATTCATTCCGCCAATTCTGTTGAAAAACATTTCTTAAACGGAAGCAAACGGAACAAAACGGGGATAAACATACCTGAGTTTGTCCAATACAAACTACTGTTTGTAATTGTTGGACTACTGATTACACCCTATATCAGCTAGATGCAGGCAAGAGTGTGCAAGGCGGTATTGAATGTCACTGTCTGTCCATGTGTCATTGTCTGTGAACTCAAATTTGTCTCTCGACCTGTGTGCACCTACGAGGGAAAATTAGAGTATCATGTAGTAGCCTAAACCTATTGCTGTTACATTGAACTGAGTGAATGGAATATGAATGAGTCATCCAATATGCTGTAATAGAAATAAGACCATGCTCATTAAAAAAAAAATCCTCCCTCATCTTAAACGGCACTGACCACCACTGCTCTGGGTCATTGTGTATGTAGAGCTCCAGTATGTTTCTCCAGTACTATAGGCTCCTAACCAGAGGAAAGTCAACCTTCAGCTATTCTACTGGCCCAGCAGGGGACCAGAGGAAACAGACCACTCCCCAACTCCCCCTATTTCCACACTCATGTCTGATCTGGGCTCCAACTTTACAAGCATGCATGCACGTTGCTGCACATGTTCACACGCAGGCACAAAGTCACACACACACACACCTTCACATAACCCCCCACCCAACCACACACACACACACACACAAAGACTACCTCTGGGCCCTGATAATAAATACTCTACAATGTGTAAAGCTGGAGAGGTATGTGATAGGCTACTCACCAGAGCTATGGCGCCAATCATCGGCATCTTTGGCTCTTTCTCCTTTTCCTTCTTCTTCCCTTCATCTTTATCCTCACTAGAAAATACAGAATATGTACAACATCATTTTATAAATCATTTTTATATAATAATCTTTCAATTGTAATAAGGGCAGATGAAGTTATTCAGTTATTGAGTTATTTAACTCAGGGACTAGACTGTAATTCCGATTACAGTATGAAGGAATAATAACACAAACCAATATTATACTGACTGTAGAAACAATTGTTGACAAAATACAAATACCCAAAGACAACATTCTCAGCATAGCACCTAAATATTTACCCAATGTCTCCGTTTTGCTCAATCTTGGCTTTGGCCACGGCTATCTCATCCTTCTTGCCCATGTCTGGGTGCTATGGCATGTAGGAGACAGACAGACAGGTACAACCGTACAGGTGAGATCGCAATACATA